AACCCAGGGCCACCAAACCCAGTGCCACCAAACCAGGGCCATCAAACCCAGTGCCACCAAACCGGGGCTACCAAACCCAGTGACAACAAACCCAGTGCCACCAAACCAAGTACCACCAAACCCAGTGCCATCAAGCCCAGTGCCACCAGACCCAGTGCCACCAAACCAGGGCCACCAAACCAGGGCCTCCAAGCCCAGTGCCACCAAACCAGGGCCTCTGAGCCCAGTGCCACCAAACCAGGGCCATCGAGTCCAGTGCCACCAAACCTAGGGCCACCAAACCAGGGCCATCAAAGTAAGTGCCACCAAATCCAGTGCCAACAAACCCAGTGCCACCAAACCCGGGCCACCAAACCAGGGCTTCCAAGCCCAGTGCAACCAAACCAGTGCCACCAAACCCAGTGCCACCAAACCAGGGCCATCAAACCCAATTCCACCCAGCTCCTAAGGAGCCACAAACTGGGAAAAGAAGCCCAGAGTGAGCCCTTCCGCCTCCCCCCTCACTTCACCGGCTCTCCGGAGCAGCGGTGAACAGGCTCATGCTGTCCCGCCCGGTGCCCGTGCTGTGCATGTCCCAGCCCCGCGGGTCCCAGCGCAGCTCCTCGAGCCGTTCCTGGATGCACCACATGGCCGGGAAAGCCGCGGGCTGTGGTGTGGGAGAGGAGGCTGAAAGGACCAGGGATGCTGGTGGCACCGGGGGATGACGTCCTGGGAACTCCCACCTGCAACGGCAGCATTCCCCGGCCCCCCGGGATGGATCCTCACACACGTGGGAGCACGCGTGTGCCCCGTGCATGCACTGTGCTCTCCCTTTGCTCTCCAGCCCTTTCCAGCCCTGCTGATGCTGCCGTTTCCTAACCATCACAAGGGAAGCCCGTGACCTTTTGTCTCCTCCCCGCCTGACACGAAACAATAATGTTTATTTGCCTTCCTCTGTCTTTTTTTCCCATTAGCTCATCCAAATGTGCGAAGAGCCGCTCCTCCGCTGCCCTGACCTCCGCTCCCTCTCCACCCGCTCAGCTCCGAGCCCAGGGGAAGGCAGGGGGAGAGCCTGGACCTCCACACCGGCACCGGGGATGGCGAGGGCTGCAGGGCCTGGACCCCGTGTGAACGGCAGCACCGGCAGCAGTCGAGGCACCGGCACTGATTTACGGCCCCGTTCCCATGCCAAGAGCCGGGCCCTTTGCCTGGGCCTGGAGTGACGCTGCCGTGGGGAGGCTGCAGCCTCCATCAGCGGGGCCGCGATCGAACGCCCTCGCCGCGAGCGCATGGACCACAAAGGCAAACGAAAGCTGTGACACCACGGAGCCGAGCGCGGGGCGGACCCCTCCGATCCCTGCCCCACCGTGCTCAGCCCCTTCCCTCCCCGTATCCCTTTGCGTGTGCAGCCCCATCCATCGCTGCTGCGGCCCTGGGAGGAGATGGGGAGAGCGGGGAAGCAATGGGGGGGGGGGGCAGGAGGAGGAGACGGCAGCCCCAGGCTCCCGAAAACGCAGGATGCATTAGAGCAAGCAGCGCTGCCTGATTGATTCTTCGGGCTGAGATGTGGGCTGGGAGTGCCAGGAGAAAATGGATCCCATGAATATTTGATGAACGGAGGCTTGGGGAGGGAGTTTGATTGGAAAATTACAGATCTTTCAAACAATGGTTCAAGTGCCCTCCAAACACTCGGGTTTCCAGCTCCCTTCCAGTTAGAGGAGCAAGGCTCCATCAGGAAACTCCCCCCCCAGTTTATGAATGAGCATGGAACCGGCCTCTCCCCATGCCTGGGAGCACCAACCGGCCGGGACACAGCTCCTGGCACCTCGGGGCAGTGTCACTCGGTCCCTGGGTCCCCATTCACACAAGGCAGCACGGCTTTCCCACACCAATGCCCTGTCCATGGGCACACACGAGGCTCCAAGGAACATCAGGAACGTGGCTCCAGGCAAGGGCACCCCCATGAGCCCCAGGAACCCACAGGAGCTCGGTCCTCGGCGCCGAGCCAAAGGGGCTGGGCTCATCCCGCATCCAAGCCATCTCCACCAGGAAACACCTGGCTGGGGCAGGATCCGCCCCGGCTCCTCTCTGTGCTCCCGGGCTGCTGCAGGGCTCATCCACACCCCCCCCAAGAGCAGCTCCTGTCTGGGGCCCTGGGGCTCACTCACCCCCGGATGGAGCAGACGGGCTCCTGCACACGCTGCCTGCACCCGACCCTGCCATGGTGCTTCCCGGCTTTCCCCCCCCGCCCTGCCCCGGCACCTCCGGTGCTGGAGACGGGCCCACGGCCAGGAAGCGGCAACACCAACACCAACACCGGCAGCTTCCCAGGAAACCTGCTCCGGTTCCTGCCCAGCCGAGAGGCCCCGGCCCACCGTACGTGGCCAAAGCCTGCAGGGATGGACCTGACCTCCGCCGGCTCCCTGCTGCTCCAGCCTAGGGAGCATCAGTGGGGTTCTGCTTCTCCCCAGCCCCAAGTCCCTTCCCCAAGTGCTCCCAGATGATTCCTCAGGCAGAAGCCTCCCTCCTTCGCCAGCTACTGCTCAGCGTCAGATCAGGGATGAGCAGGGTTGGGAGGGCAGGACCAGGAGGGTCCCCCCTCAGAGGAGACCCGGAGGGGAGAGATCCAGATGTGGAGACCCACAACCTCCAGCTGCTCAAGCGCATCAACAGCAGCAGGAGCACGGGACAGACGAGCAGCTCCGATGGGTCCAACGTCTTCAGAAGAGCTGGAAGCTTTCAGCCAAACCTCCCCAGGCACCAGCGCCTCGCAGCAGCCAGGACCCTCCTCCAGCCACTGCCAGCACCAAGAAGCAGGAGCCAAAGCACCCACGATCTGCTTCAGAGTCAGGCCGACATCAGGGGAGACCTCGCTGCGTCCCCACTGCCCCAGGACCCTCCTAAACCTTCCCATGACCAGGATTGGAAGCAGCAGGACTGACCCAGCGAGACCCGGAGCTGCAGGGCTCCTCGCTGCCCGGCTCCTGCAGCTCCTCGTCCCGCTCCCCAGGGCTCATCGTGCTCCTCGGTTCTGCCCTTTCCCTCCCTGCCTTTTGGCAAATCACACACATGTTTTGCTCCCCAGTGAGGCACTGTTCTGAAGGCACCAGCACCCCGAGGAGCTGCCCAAAGCCATGGACCTGCCTTGGCGAGCTCTCGCCTCCCGTCCCTCCAGCAGCACGGGGCGCTGCTCTGCTCCCCCAGCCCCACTGCCTCTGACATGAGCCCGGGCCCCCAGCGGTGCCACCACGACCAGAGCCCACCTCGACCCCAGGAACCCCCCTTCCCACCTCTCACCAGCACCCCATGGGGTTCTCCCTCAGTGGGAGATGGATGGAGGCGAGGGGGACCTGTTGAGCACCCGGCATCTCACCAGGAGCATCAGGACAAGGCCGATGGAGGGTCGCTGACCCCGGGCAGGGTGGATGCGCCCCAAGGGATGCGGGGAGACCCTTGTTTGCCTCGGTGGGGACCAAAGCATGGGAGGGAAGGAAAGGCCTCGGTGAGACACGGCTGCTGGCACCCAGCGCCGTGAGCAGCCGCCCAGCCCCGCGTTCTCCCAGCACCACCAGTCCCCGTGGGGCAAACCCAGTGCGGGGCAGGATGGATCCCAACCACCGGCCTCCACCTGCTCCCTCCATCACCCGCAAAGCCCCATGCGCGGCTCTGAGCCCGCCTGCAGGCACCGACCCAGCCGGCAGGGCCCCACCGCAGCACACAAAGGACGAGGCCGGGGTACGGAGAGCACCCGTCCGTCCCTCGGGACCCCGCACAGCAGCAGCCGCGGCGCAGGGCCGGGGGTGCGGGGGGGGCTCCGCGGTCCCGCAGCGGCAACAACAGGTTCAAAACACAAAAATAAACGCCCCTCCCACACCCCCACCCCCCCCCGCTTCCCGCACCGCTGCCAGCGGAGACGCCCCCCCCCCGCAGCCCCCGCTCCACACCGGGGCCTCCGCCGCTGCACCCCGAGCCGGAGCTGCGGCACCCCCGGGCAAGGACCCGAGCAGCACCGGGGGGGCAATGAGGGCCCGGTGGGGGGGGGGGTCTCGAGCCCCGGTACCGGGGGGCTGCGAGGCCCCGGTGTTGGGGTTCTGAGTCCCCAGGATTGGGGGGAGGACGACGGGGACGACCCCCCGGTTTCATGCTCCCGAGCTCCTGCATTGACGGGATATGAGGCCCCGGTGTGAGCTCGGTGAGAGCGCGGTGCGGGGGTCCCGCAGCCCCGGTGCGGGGTCCCGGGCCCTGGCACTCGGGGGGACCCCCCCCCGCCCGCCCGCCCTCCCACCTCATCGCTGCGGAGCCCGGCCGGTACTCACTCCATTTTCCGTGCGGGCTGGGCGGCGGCTCCGCTGGGCTCGGGGCCGGACGGGGCGAGGCGGAGCGGGGCCGGCGGCCGCCGGCGTCCCGGCGCTCAGGGCCCGGCGGGCGGCGGCATCCCCGGTGGGGCTGCGGGATGCGCAGGGATGTCGGGGCCGCGCCGGTGCTCCCGCCTCCCGCGCCGCCCGCACAGCTCCGTCTGCCGGGCGCGGCCCGCCACTGCCGCCGCCCCTCACCCGGCCTCGGGGCGCGGCTGCTTTTGGGGTGCGGGGGGGGGGGGAGCCCCACAGCGGGTCCCGGCTGCGCAGTGACCTGGTCCTTGTCCCGGACACCTCCTTTTGGCTCCCCCCCAGCACCACAGGGGGGTCTCCCCCCGGGGCACTGCCGCTGCCGGAGGCCACTCTCATGGCTCCCGTTGCACCTCCGTGGCCTCAGCACCCGGCCCTGAAGATGCAACCGGGGAGAGGATGGAAAAGGGGGAGCCCGGGTCCCCCCTCACTGCTCCTGTTTCCCAACGCGTTGGGCAAACGCTGGCAAACTGACACAGGAAGCCCCGAGCCAGGCTCCGACCGCAGCCCGTTAGGAAATGTGCCCACTGCTGGGGCCAGAGCTCCCGGCTGCAGCAGTGGGGTTCACCCCCCCCCCCCCATACACCCACCCCGGTACACGCACAGTCCCTGCCCCGGGGTGAAGCTGCACCTACCCCTGAGGCACCATTGCAGCGCCTGTGCCCCCCACCCACAGCATTGCACAAAGCAGCAACACCCAGAGAGGAAGAAGCAGGAGGGAGATACCCGCTGGCACCCAGAAGTATTTAAGCACCCCCCCCATCCTGAGCGGCCCCACAGGAGGTGGCAGTGACCTGCTCTGCACCAGCATGGTCACGGTTGGGCTCTTCATCCTTAGCCTGGGAGGCTCCATCCTGCTCCTGGCCCCAGCAGGTAAAGGGGGAGCTGGGGCTGAGGAGGCTGTGGGGTGGGAGATGGAGACCCCGGGCCAGAGCACTGCGGGGGGGGGGGGGCACAGGACACCCTAGCAGCCAGTGACTGCCTGCACTCCCCCCCCCCCCCAGGCACCCAGGGGAGCCGGATCATCGGGGGAAAGGTGGTGCCCCCCCACTCCCGGCCCTTCATCGCCTCCATCCAGATGGACGGGCAGCACGTGTGTGGGGGCTTCCTGGTGTGGCCCAAGTGGGTGATGACAGCAGCCCACTGCCTCATTCCCCGGTGAGCTATGGTCCCACTGGGGGGCACGCACATCCCAATCCCCACCCCGGGGCACAGCACAAACAGCCACCCCCATCCCAGATGCAGCCCTGGAGGGACAGGATGAGGGGTGATGGGTTTAAACCGAAACAGGGCAAGTTTAGGTTGGAGATAAAGCAGAAGCTCTTCCCTGTGAGGGTGCTGAGTCGCTGCACAGGGTGCCCAGAGAAGCTGTGGCTGCCCCATCCCTGGCAGTGTTCAAGGCCAGGTTGGACACAGGGACTTGGAGCAAGCTGCTCCAGTGGAAGGGGTCCCTGCCCGTGGCAGGGGTTGGAGCTGGAGGAGCTTTAAGCTCCCTTCACCCCAAACCACTCCATCTTTCTATTCCATCATTCCCACCCACCCATGCACCCCTCAAGGCTCCCTGCTCCCCCCCCACCCCCCCCGCCCCCCAGCCACAGCAGCACCCGCTCAGGGCCCCTCCACTGCAGGCGCAACCCCTCGGTGCGCGTGGTGCTGGGCGCCCACCGGCTGCAGGAGCCCGAGGGGTCCCAGCAGGTCTTCAGCATCGCCGAGTCCATCGCCCACCCGCACTATAACCCCCGCTCGGTGGACAACGACATCCGCATGCTCAAGGTGAGGCCCGGGCTGGGGGGGGCCTGGGGGTGCCCCATGCAAGACCGAGCCGACACTAGATGTCAGTGCTTCTCCGGAGAAGCAGGGCCACGCCATGGGGTGCGATGGAGGCGGATGAGGACCAACCTCCCTCCCTCCCTCCCTCCCTTCGCTCCGAGCACACTGGGACCAATGAAGGGCTGGCAACGTTGTGGGGCTCAGCATGAGCAAGGAGCTGGGGTGGGAATGGGATGGGGCGCGATGGGACGTGGGGCTCCGCCATAGCAGCAAAGCCACCCGTGTCCCCAGCTCAACAGGTCGGCCACGCTGAACCGGTACGTGAAGCGGATCCGCCTGCCCCCTCCGCACATCGACCTGAAGCCCGGCACCGTCTGCTTCGTGCTGGGCTGGGGGGACACGTCCAACTACGGCGACCGGCCCACCGAGCTCATGGAGACCGGCACCACCATCGTCAAGCGGAGCCTGTGCCGGACGCTGTGGCGAGGCAAGGTCTCATCCAACATGATGTGCGGGGCGAGCCGCAACGCCACGCTGCAGGGTGTCTGCGCGGTGAGTGCGGTGCCGGCATCGAGACCCCCCAAACAACCCCCTCCAGGAGACCCCCTCGTCCCCTTCCCACCCCTTGTGCTTTGCAGGGGGACTCCGGGGGACCCCTGATCTTCAAGAACAAGGTTTACGGCATCGTCTCGTTCTCCGGGCAGAGGTGTGGGGACCGCCGGTACCCCGACATCTACACCAAGATCTCCAACTACATCGACTGGGTGCATCGCACCGTGCAAGGGCATTGCCATCAGAAGGGCGGCTGAAGCCCTAGTGGGGCTGAGAGGGGGCCTGGGGCCGTGGGGAAAGCTGCTTGGCAGCTCCTGGGAGGGGAGAAGAGCACCAGGACTCCCAGGTCCCCTGTCCCAAGGGGGTTTGGGAGCTGATGCTCAGCCTGAGTCTGCCTGTTGGGGATGGGAGCCCGGCTGCCCCAGCCCCAGCACCTCACTCGGCCTCTTGCAGCTGCGAATTTGCCTTCCTCAATAAAACCCTGGTCCCAGACCTCTCTCCATTCACCTTCCCTCTACCCCCCAAGCTCTGGAGAAGGGGAGCTCCTTTGCTCCCCACCAGGGATGTGATGGGGAGCCCAGGAGGTTGGACTGGGGCTACTGCTTCTGCCCAGCAGTGCCCAGGCGGCTGCTGCCTGTCTCATTGGGGGCTGGTTTTTCCAGGCTTTCCCTTCTCCTGTCCTTCCCCTACCCACTACAACCCCCTCTCTGGCTGTCCCACTGCTCCCCTTTGGGTTCCAGACCCTGGGCTTGTCCTGGACTGGGGTGAATGGAGCAGGGGCTGCAGGAGGAAGGAGGAACCCACTCACGACCAGAGGAGCCAAAACCCGCATCCATTCACTGCTGCCCCACAGAGCATCCCCAGCAGCGCTGAGGCTGCCCCACTGCCGGGGTGGGGCTCCCCATCCCATCCCACCCCGTCTCACCCCATCCCGTCTCGTCTTGTCCCGTCCCGTCTCACTCCACACCCTCCCCACCGCGGTGCGGGACCCCCCAAACAGGGGAACCACAGAGCCCCCGGGGGCAGATGATGGGCTCCGGCCGCCCGCTGCACTGGCAGAGCCCGCGGGGTGCCGGCACGCTGGGGCACGCAGCCGGGTGCTCCCCACGGGGGCACTGGCGTGACTGTGGGCACAGGGACCAGGGGGGAACGTGCGCTGAGCTGCTGCCAGGCCTCAGCGTGCGGCATCGCCAGCGTCTCCAGGGACATTCCCTGCTCCTGGTTTGATGTGGCCGCAAATTGCTGGCACGCCGCGGGCACGAGGTCCCCGCACGAGGCTGCAGTGACCGCAGCATCTGACACCAGCCGTGCCACAGCCCCCAGGGGCTCTGCCAGGGAGGAGAGGATGAAGGCCAGGCCTGGGCTGAGAGGTCCCCAGACCGACCCTCACCATCGGCTCCCTGCGCTCACCGCACCGGGAAGCTTTGGCTGCCCCATCCCCTCCTGTTGCAATCTCCGCTCCCCGCTGCATGCATGGGATCAGGGGACCACAACCACGAGCATCCATGGCTTTGGGGACGCCCAGCAGAGGACAGACCCCTGCCAAGCTGTCAGCCTCCAAGGAAGCCCTGTGGGGGTCCCAGAAGCATGGGGCAGAACCCCTCTGCCCCACTCCGGGATGCCGGGGCAGGGCTTCTGTGTGCTGCCGGGAAGCCTGGAGAGCCGGCGCCTGTCCCGGCTTGTCCCAGACCACCCAAAATCCTTCGGGAAGGAGGCGCCTGACTCACGGCCGTGTTTTGGAAGCCGAAATCTCCCGCTCATCGGCAGGAGCTGACGTCGCTGCCGCAGCCCGTGCCCGCGGGGCTCGGCGCGGGGCCAGGCACCGGCGCTCCGGGCACCGAAAGGCCGAGGATGAGGAAGCCGCCCCGGGGAGGAAGGCGCTGGGGCGGGCTCGGAGGAGCTCAGGCCACACACACCACCACGTGCCGCGGGTGCTGGCGCCAGGGGAAGCCCTGGGCAGCGTTTTGGCAGCGTCTTTACACCCGTTCCCAAACGCAGACCGGGCATCGCTGAGCGGGGTGGGTAGAGAGGGGCTGCAAGGAGAGCCCCCTGCCTGGTGGTTGCGATGCTGCTGCCTGGTCAGGCTTCAGCTCAGCGCCGGGGTGCAGGAGATGCGGGGTTCAAGCAGTGGCTGCAGCCTGGGCTGGATCCTGTGCGATGCTCAGCACCGGACCCCAGGGAGGGCTGAGGGTGCTGGCCCAGGAGCGAAGGTCTCATTCCCCCTCAGTGCCCCACAGTGCCTCAGTTTGGGACCCCCAGCCCAGGCGGGGGGGGGGGGGCTGCATCGTGCTGTCCCCCAGCACAGGGGATGCGGCTGCCGTTGAGCTGCCGGTGCCAAGCCACTGGCTGCTGCCTGGGCTCCCGCGGTGGGGAAGCGCCGCACATCAGGACCCAATTACGTGCAGGAATTGTTTTGTGAAATACCAAACCCTCACGGCACGGCCTGATATTGGGAACAGATTTATCTGCCTGGCTGCTGGCTCTTCCCTTTCCTCCCACTGCAGGGAACGGCCTCAGCCGGGCTGGAAACATCCAACACTTGGAGCCAAGTGGGAGCGGGGGCTCTCAACCATCCCCATCCCAGCAAAGGAGCTCGCAGTGATGCTGCAGCAGCGCAGCCCTGGGGGATGCAGCCACCTCCTGCGGCCCCAGAACCCACTGAACAGAACCGGACCCACGGCACCGTTTATTCCGGGTTTTAATGATAAGCCAAACGGTAACAGAGCTGTAAAATGCCCCTAACGCTGCCGAGGAGGAAATGGGGGTGTTCCCAGAGTGTCTGCTGCAGGAATCGGAATGCAACCATACAAAAATAGAAAATAGGGTATTTTATATATATATATATATAAAATATATATATGATATTTATATAAAGGCAATAGCTTTTCAGTGTCAGAGATGTTATTTACACAGGTGACAACACACAACATGAGAGAAGTAGTAAAAATAAATACAGAGGGTGTTGACAGGGCAGTCAACAGAGCAGGGGGTGCCCGGGGGGGGGGTGCCAGGCAGGGCCATCGGCTCCTCCTGTCCCCCTTTGTCAAGCCACGCTCCCCACGGCCACCCCACAGCGGCTCTGGGAGCCAAGCACTGTCATGGGATGGAGGGAGGGAGGGGAAACTGGACCCGGGCGATGGGCTCTGGGTGAGGGCACTGCAGGGTGGGGAGCTCAAGGGGACGGTTGTGCCCCCCGGTCAGGGCTGCCATGGCCCATGATGGTGCGGCCATCATCACACCAGCATCGCCTCCAAGGATGGGTGGGAGCCTGGGCTGGAAGGGACCAGGAAAGCTTCAACTAAAATCTGTTTTAACATACACATGATAAAACCTTAGGATAAACTTACATACATATATATATATATATATGTATATATGTATAATTACACATCGACCCATCTCCAATCCTCTGCAGCACCGTGCTGCCCTTCCTGCCACTGGCAGCTGGGAAGGCGAAAGCGCCGATTCCCTCTGGACCTCAAGGTCCCGGCCAGGAACGTCAGCACAGTACTGAGAATTCCATCCAAAAATAAATAGGCCCAGGGCTGGCAGCCAAGGACACAAGGGGGGGGGGGGGGGAGCCCAATGCACAGCAGCACCAACACCCCCATGGGTACCGGGTGCTGGAGCATCCCCAGTGCGGCTCGGAATCGCTCCGGGAGCCCCCTGCCCTGCTCCCCTGCGGCTGCATAACATACACAAGTATAAATAAAGGAAGGTTTTATCTTAATAAATATCAGGTATATGGTTTGTACAATATACACATAATGCCCCTGTCTCCCGGGTCCGGTGGCGAGGGAGGATTCACACGTAGTTCTCTTCCACGTTGTCCGTCTCCGCAGAGAATTTGGCCGCAGCTGGAAACAGAGCAGGAGAAGGGGAGAAGCGGTGATGGAGATGCTGGGATGAGAGGGATCTGAGCCCAATGCCCCCCACACATACACAACCACCACCCCCTGGACCCCACTCACCCGAGCAGCTCCCGTAGTGGCGCACGCCGATGGAGCGGCCGCGGTGGCAAGTGGCCCGCCGGAGGTGGCAAGCCGAGGGGTAGGTGATGTTGTTGTTGCCGCAGAGGGCATGGTCCAGGCTGGTGGGCTCGGGGCAAGGCGCCGTCCGGCACATCACGCAGTGGGCGCTGCCCGTCTGGTCCACCACGCAGGTGTGGGTGCCGGGGCACACCACGCTGGAGCAGGACTCTGTGGGGAAGCACACACTGAGCTGGGGGGGGGGGGGGGGGCACGGGCATCGTCCCAGGGAAACCCGGGCAGCTTGAGCCCCCTCCTGCCTTCAGCAGGGGACGGAGCCAAGGCTGGAGGGTCCCAAGCATCCCCCATCACCACTGCTTCAGAGGACAGGAGCTGATGATGGGGTGTGAGGGACCGCTTGGCCCCACAGCCCTTGAGCACGGCTCCATCCAGAGCCGAGATCTGACTGCAGAGCCAAGCACATGGGGCTGAGCCCATTGGGACCTGGCTGGGGTGAGCGGCCCCACACAGGTGCCTTGGCAGCGGGAGCAGCAGCCGCTCCAAGCGGGCTGGCAGCGCCGCGAGCAGGGAAGGGTCACGTTGGACCCTGCACAGAGCTCAGGGCTTGCGTAGCCCCCATCCCACAGTAAACCCCAGCGTGTGCTCAGCACATCCCCGTGGCTGTGAACACTTCCCAAGGCCCTCCCTCCTTTCCCTGCCGGATTGGAAGGGGATTTGGCATCTGCAGCTCCCAACTCACATTTCTTGCCCCACATTTCCCTGCGCAGGCCAGAGCTTGACAGGCAAAAGCATTTCAGAGAGGAGGGCTGGCAAAAATAACCATAATAATTCTGACAGCTCTTGGCAGGCAGGGAGGATTGCTGCTCGCTTTCACAAAGGAACAAAAAAGGGGCTTGATGCTTGCAAGTGACATTTTACGGACTGTTATTCCTCAGCCTGCGGCGAGGTTAAGCCTCCATCGCATGGATGGGCTGTTGGAAGCATCACACGTCCCAACCGGGTGGCAGGGCCAGCTCGGAGCGCGGCGAGGGCGATGCTGAGGGATGAGAGCCAAGAGATGCCCGTGTCCCACCAGGAGCTCTGCACCAGGACAGAGCTTCCCTCTCTGGGCATGGCCAGGCACTGGGTACAGACCCTGTGCTGGGGCAATGGGAACAGCCAGTGCTCAGGGCAGGACCCAGTGGAGAGAATGGGGAGATCCGGATTCCCAGTGGGAGAGGGAAGGATGTGCCTGGCCACATCACCACAACACAACGGGAGGGGGGGCACCCAGGGACCCGCGCTGCCGTTCTTCATCTCCTCCCATGCAGGCAGAGCTTGGAGCTGGGAGAACGGGAAGCAGAGGGAACAGGGAGGGAGAGGATGAGCTAAAGCAGGGACAAGGGGCCCGACCGGACCTACTTTTGCATTTGCCCTGGTACATGACTTCGAGGTCGGGGTGGTCCCTGCACTTGGCTGTCAGGAGGTCGCACTCGTCGCGGTAGGTGTAGCCGTCGGAGCCGCAAACCTGCAGCTTGCGGGGCAGGCTGGAGCAGTCGGGGGCACAGGCACACTGGGGACGCCCGTGCTTCATCTTGCAGACCTTGTCGGGGCCGCACACCACCCCCTCGCAGCTCTCTGGGGACAGAAGGGAGCAGAGCGTGAGGAAGATGCGGTGCCAGCATCCGGGAAGGATCCATCCTGCCCAGCCTCCTGCAGGGGCAGATCCACAGGGATTGGGGCCCCGCATCAGCGCTCGGGAAAGAAGACGGGGGGGGGGGGGGGGGGGGGCAAATCCCTGGTCACAACACGCAGCATCTGGATCTGCTCAGCTCCAAGGAGCAGGTCGTTGGCGGGAGCGCATCCAGCCGGAGCCTGGCGCTCCGCTCCGCACCAGCTCCTCGCTTCCATGTGCCGAGTGTTTTGGAAGGAGCCCTTTCATTTGCTTGTGCAATGGAAAAACCTCCCCGTGCGCAAGGCCCCGGCTCCTCCAGCAGGATCTGGGCTTCGGGAGTTGTCTGGGCGATGGGGAACGCCGCTGCCATCACACAATACCCGGCCCTGTTCCGCTCTGCGCCTCCGTGACTGGAACACAAGAGCGGGGTCCCCAGACAGGCGGCAGCTTTGTCGTCGTCGTGTCCCCCCCCCCCCCCCCCGGGTCACCTCCCGGCCAGCTCGGGGGCCGGGTTCAAGGGGTCCCGGGGCCGTGCCCACTCCGGCAGGGATGGAGAGGGGCCCATCGCGGGTGCTGGTGGCTCCACAGGGGGAGGCAAAGGGCTCAGCACCAAGACCAAGGCAGGGATGGAGGCTCCGTAAGCCCCTTGCCCCGCACACAGCCCAAAGGGACCCTTTGCCTTCTGAGCTCCCCGGGACACGGGCAGTGATGGGAGCTGGGGGTGCAGGCACCCATCAGCACCCAGACGAAGCACCGAGGAACTTCCCGAGATGGGGATTCACCCCCCAGGAGGAAGGATTCCCGCAGACAGGGTGTGTGTGGGAGCTGTTGGGAGGTACAGAGGGGGATTTCCCTGCAGGAGATGGGTCACTTTGGGAGACAGGGGAGAGGAGGAGGAGGAGGAGGAGGAGGAGGAGGAGGAAGGGGAAATTCCCTGTCTTCTTGGCCCTGCGCTCCCTGGGGGAAATTCCCTGGTGGGAGACAGTTTCCCAGCTTGTTCCCTGATTTCCATAGCTGGGGCTGGTCCAAGGGAAGGGGAGAGGGACAGGCTGAGCCCTGGCAGCATCTCTGCTGAGAGCTGCAGGGACAAGACCCCAAGACACAGGGGCCTGGCCCCGTGCCCCAGTGCACCCTCCGTGCGGGAATGCTGCTGCCGGCACAGCAGGATCCAACCATCAGCACGGGAGGGAGGCAGCTGGAGCATCCCTGACCCCGACTCCTGGTCCTGGAGCGGGGGACACCGTGTCCCCAGCAGCTGGAGCCAGGAATTCCGCCTCCCAACCCATTGCAGAGCCCCCCGGGACCCGGCCAGCACCTTCCCGCAGGGCTCTGCTGCTGGCGCGGGGCTGGTGCCTGCAGCCCGCTGTATCCTGGAGTAACCTCGCCAGGCCCCAAGAGCCCGGGGAGCGGGAGCACAGCTCGGCTCATCCGCCCTTTTCCAAGGCCTCCGGTGGGGAGCAGCACCGGCTCCATCTGGATGGGGCGCTCGGCAGGGGGGGGGGGGGATGCGGTGCACGTGCCAGCCGGGGCTTCCAAAGCCCCAGTGATCCCCGGGAGCCGCAGACACCCCCCCATCGTGTCCCTCTGCCCCAGCACAGGGGGGGACCATGCTCCATGACCAGCCCTTGGAGAGGGTCCCAGTGCTCCCAGCACCCACCAACCTGATCCCACTCAGTCCATGCATGCACAGGGCACAGCCCCGAGCCAGGACCGGGCTGAGGAGCAGCTGGGGCTGCAGAGGAGCTGGAAGAAGCCGTTTCCTTCAGAACCCTTTTCCTTCCCCCCCCCTCCTTCCTTTAAACAAATCCCAACCTGACCTCCCAAAGACCTGCTCCTGCCTCCTGCGGTCAGCAGGTCCTCGAGCGTGTTCTCACATGGCCACGCAATTGCGACTGGGGGATCCGTGCCTCCGGCGCACGCCAAAACATCTGGCGGGGCTGGAACTCACAGCTGGAGAGTTTCCACTGCTGGAACTGCCCGTTACATAAAGCCATTCCACACACACGCGCTGGGAGCGGGAAGGGGGAGCGGAGGGGAAGAAACAGAGCTTTTTTTTTCCTCCCCCTTTACAAATGAACCTTAGGAAGGTTCCCTCTGAGCAGCCCTGGCAGGGACAGGGGGTGGGAGGCCCCCGCCACAATGAGTTAACCTGGGACCACGGAGCCCCAGCTCAGTTCCTTGACTCATCGCCCCATAGCCAAGAGCCAGGTCACACATCCCACTCCATAGAGAACAACAAAACTACGCACAAAATGAAAGGGGCCGGGGCACGGAGGCTGTCCCGGGAGCCCTGGCCCCATGGCAGCATCCGACCCACAGCAGGGGCATGGGGGCAGTGGTCCCTGAAGGAGGGTACCAGGGCAGCCCAGCCCCATTGCTGCTGCTTCACCCAGAGCATCCTTTGAGCATCCCCCCCACACACACCCCAGGCAGAGCTCGGCCCCACTCACCTTTGCAGGGGTGGCAGGTCACCAGCCCCAGGAAGCCCAGCAAGCTGATCTTGTTGCCTGGGTAGGTGTAGTTAGACCAGGCGACGTCCACATTGCCATTGGCACAGCATTCCTCCCACGTCACTCCCGTCTTCAGGATCATGGTGCACTTGGCCTCCTTCCCCTGCTGCAGCCAGCAGATCCCACCTGCGGACAGGGCAGAGAGTGAGGGGTCCCTGCTGTGCCAGGCTGGCTCCCATCTCCCCTGGTGCACAAGGATGTCCCCATGGACCCTGGCACAGCCTGGCAGCGCTGACACCCCAAAGCCTGTGCTCCTGGCAGCCAGCAGGCTCCAAACACAGCACCAGGACTGCAGGGACACCCCAGTTATCTCAGTGCTCCCAGTGATGCTCTGGGAGATGGCCAGGGTCTGGGCTTGCAGCTCGCCCTCCCTGCAGTGGGGATGCTCCAGCCCCAGAGGGTGCCCACACTGTGCAGGCTGGATCCCCCCACACGCACCAGCGGCCCCCCACAGCGGGATGGAGCATCAACACCCACAGCCTCTGCAAGCAGCATCCGAGGCACCGGCCGGAGAACGGGGCACTTGACACAGCCCTTGGGCTGGGGCCAGCCCAGCGGCATCAGATCCCTGTGAGTCAAAAGCCTGTTTGTTCCTTCACCCCCCGGACCCGGCAGCCAGAGGTTTTTGTTGTGAGTGATTCCTCTGCGATTTCCGCCCCTGCAAACCAGCCTCTTCTGATGCTTATTTGGGTTCCTGCTCTCATTAGCTGCAGTTTGAGGTTTGTTCAACGGCTGAAGATGGGAGGGAGCAAGGGGGAAGGGATGGCTCCTGCCCGTGCCGGGCTGCAGTCGCTCCCCACAAAGCAGAGCCTGCACTCACCTTGGGACTGCTGACCCCCCGCTCCCTCCCATGCACCCCGTTTTGGTTCAGCCAAAAGCACGTGAGGGCCCCAGCACCATGGGGCAGCCATGGATGGAGCAAAACCCTCAGGCTGCAGAACCAGTGGCCTGGACACCTCTGGAAGCATCAGCCAGGCCGACACCTCTGCCATCAGTGGGTTTGTCTCATCACTCTTTCAAGCCAGTTTTCCCCCTAGAACACCCATGGCTCCAGCTCCCCCATGGTCCAAGCTCCCTGGGAGCCGCATCCTGACTCCGGAACCCTGCTTGTCCCATACACACGGGAACAGGCACACACAGAGCGATCCCACCCGTACTGGGACAGCTCCATGCACCCCTGCTCTCTGGGGTGCACCCACCATGTCCTGAACCACGCTGGGGAGCGGGGACACCAACAGGGGACATTCCCTGAGCAGGGGGATGGAGCCACCCTCCCTGCAAGGGAGCAAGGTGGCCATGGGATGTGAGAATGGAAACTCGAGCACTGCTGCAGGAGAGCCGCCCCTGGCTGCAGTGACCACGGCTCCGCTGGGATGAGCTTTGGGATCCCCGCAGCAGGGTCCGGGACAGCCTGGGCACGGGGATGGAGCAGCTCCCGCACAGCCCCGAGAGCTGGGAGCGCCGTCAGCTGAACCGGGAGGGGTTTGAGCTGCAAACTCCACACCCAGATCACGCTGCTCCCGGTGGGCCTGGGGCGAGGGACCCCAGCCCGGGGGCTCAGCGGGGGCTCCCGGGGCCGGCCATGGGGTTGTGCCCATCATCACCCCATCGCAGGGCACATCCCGGGGGGGGATGCCGGGGTCCAGCACCACAGGACGAGAAGTGGCAGCGGGACCCCCGGGGCACCCTCCGGGACCAGCCGGGTGAAGGGACACAGCGCGGACCGGAGCCACCGGGTGGCACCACCGGGGACCTGCTCCCGCTGCTCCGCCAGCGCCCAGCACCCACCCGAGCGCCTCCCGGTAAAACGGGATCCTACGGCCGAGAGCCCAGCCCGGGGCGGCGGCACCCGGGGGGGGGGGAACGGGACGCAGCCCGGTAACGGCGCCGGCACACCGGACCGGGCCGTCCCTGCCCCGAGCACCTGCCAGCGCGGCGGGGAGCGGCGGCACCGACGGCTCGGGGCGGGGAGCGGCTGCTCCGGTGCCCCTCTCCCACGGACCAAGACACCCCCCCATCCCCCCCCTTCGGGGCGGCACTTACCGTGCGCGGCGGCGGCGGGGCTGCAGAGGGCGAGCAGGCAGAGCGCCAGCCGCAGCGGCATGGCCGGGCCGGGGCGGCGGGACCGGGACCGGGACCGGGACCGGGCCGGGACGCTCCGGCGACCTGTTGCCTGTGAGGCGGCGGCGGGGCCGGCGGCGTTATAAAGCGGCGGGGCGGCGTGAATCACCGGGCGGGGCGGCGGCGGCGGGGGGGGGGGGCCGCGGCCGGGGGCGGGGGTAAGTGCGGGAGGGGGGCGCGCTGAGAGATGGGGGGGATGTTACCGGGGGTCTGCTCGGTGGGACGGGTGTCGGTTGGGGGGGGGGGGGGGCGGTCCGGGTGCTGATGTGCCCGTGTGTCCCCAGGGCTGGACCGCACTGAGATGGGGAGGGGAAGGTTTGGGGGTGCCCCCCCCCCCTCCTTGCTCGGTGCAGCCGGAGTCTGGGTGCTGCCCCCCTGTCCCTCCCGCACCCACCCATCCCCGCCTGAGCCCTCCGTCTGCCTCCTCCACCCTCCTCCTCCTCCTCCTCAGCAGCCCCGTCTGGCAGCGGAGTTACGGGAAGGTCTGTGTCATGTGGCTCCTTTCATCTCCGCTCCCCAAACCCCACAGCCCGGCATCACCCACAGCGAGCCAGGAGGGAAACTGAGGCAGCGCTGGGCCCTACAGCCTCGAGGCAGCGGGGATGGGGATGTGTGGGGAGCACGGTGACAGCGTGTGCCATGAGGGATACGTCCCCCCCAGCTCTCCTCCTTCCCGCTGCCACATCCCGTCCTGTGGACCCGGATCCCAGCATCCTGCCTCGGGATGTGCCCCCGCGATGGGGTGACGATGGGCACAACCCCACGGCCGGCCCCGGGAGCCCCCGCTGAGCCCCCGGGCTGAGGTCCCTCGCCCCACGCCGCTCGAGGCATGACTGTGGGCAAGTCACTTCCCGGCCCCATGGCGCTTCCCAACGGCTGCGGGGCCGAAGCTGGGCCATGGGGTTGAGTGGAGCCCCCAGCGTGGTTCTGCCAGGAGCAGGGCTCCGAGCCCCGCTAGTGCCCCTGACCAGGAGCCCAGGGGCCTTCTCCATCCCCGTGCAGCTCGGGAGTGTTTTACCCTTTGCACTGGCCTCAGCTGAGGTCATGTTTTCAGCACGACTGCTCCGGGCTCTTTCAGAAGAGGGGCCCCGGCCGGAGGGCTCTGGGGACCTTGCACCACCCCTCCAGCCCGGCAGCAGCCTCCTTGCTCCCAGCCGGTGCCAGCACAGCGTGAGAGGCTCGGTTTGGTGTGGGATGGGGCTGGGGGCAGCTTTGGTCCAGTGAGACTCAGAGCAGCTGGGTCCCATGGCCAGGGGAGAGCTGGGTGTGATGCCAGCATCACGCTGCTCCTACACCGAGATGGCGCTTCTCCCATCTTCTCCTCACGCAGCAGAGGAGAAGGGAAGGGACCCCAGGGAAGGGACGGCAATGGGGAGGGCTGGGTTTGCCCCAGGTGGCATTAGTGAAAACCGCAGGGCTTCAGTCGGTCCTGCACTGCCCTGGTACCTCCATGGAGCCCCGGGCAAGGCTCTGCAGGCTCCTGGCGTGCTGCTGGCCCTGGGCTGAGCACTGCTGCTCCCTCCCGTGTCCCCATCCCTGCTGCCGGTCGGCGTGACCCCTGGCTCGCTCGGGGCTGTCCATGTAAGGGCAGAGGGCTGCGGAGCCAGACCTCGGCGCTGGATGTCAATGGGTGGTGATGCGCCCGCTCACATGCTCCGGGATGCAAGAGGAGCTTGCGGAGGCCAGGCAGGGATTTTCCCTGGCTGCGAGCGGGGTTGCACAACCGGCGGCTGCTCTGGCAGGGAAGGGGTCGGACCTCGCTCCGGAGCCGCATCTGGAAGGGAGCAGCCGGGCTCTGCTGCGCCTGACGTGGGGCAGGAGGAGCCTGCGAGGGAGCGGGTCCGGTTCCTTCCGTAACCCGGCAATGCCTGGCAAAGCCTCGCTGATGCCCGCGGGCTCGGAGCCCTGCTCCTGGCAGAGCCACGCCGGGAGCTCCGCTCAACCCCATGGCCCAGCTTCGGCCCCGCAGCCGCTGGGAAGCGCCGTGGGGCCGGGAAGTGACTTGCCCACAGTCACGCCTCGAGCGGAGGCCGAGGCCGGTTCTCAGGCAGAGCTGGGAGCACAATTCCCCCAAGCCCTGGGGTGCTGCTGCCGCCTTCCTGCTCCCCTTCTTGCTCCCTCCCCAGCAGCGCCCGCGGAGCGAGGGGGGGCGAGGAGCCAGGCTGGGAATCATGGAGAAACCGGCCCTGCCACCGGAGCATCCCGGGAATCAAAGGAGCCCAAAGGCCGGGCAGGGGGCGGCGGGAGGAGCCGGAGCGGGGACAAAGGAGCTCTTTGCAGCCGCAGTGAATGGCAGCCTCACATCTGACCTTTCCGTCTGGTGCTGCATTGTGCTGGGGCAGGATCGGGCTGAGGTTCAAGAGCCAACCATATCTCCCCCCTCTAACTAAAACCCGGCTGCTTCATTCTCCTCCCGAGCTGCCGGGCTCCTTTAAGGAGGGAATCTCGCCTCTCCCATCAGTTCAGGCTAATTAAACTCTGCTAAACCAATTAGAGCTGCAATTTGCAACAAGACATTCAATTGAGAAGCGTTCCTCACAGAGCCCAGGGTCAGGGCACAGGCACAAGAGCAGAGGCTTCGTGCGGAGCCGCTGGCGGGCGCTGGGCAGGTCTCCGGGTGCCTCTTTGGGTCGCCGGCAGCTTTGAGCCTGGGGCTGGGTTTTCTCCACACGGGTGAACCGGGGAGATGCTCGTGGCTCACGGGGGGGCAGGACCCACACCTCGGTGGCCGCCTCAGCGCTGACAAACGCAGCTTCGCCCCGCGCCCCGGGGCGGCAGCATCACCGCTCCGTGCCTCAGTTTCCCCATCTGCCTCGGCGAGATAATGCTGCTCCGCTTGATCCTGCCCTATCTCACAGGAAGGGTGCAGGGATTAGTTAGCTAATGTTTGCAAGGAGCTTTGAAGATGAAAAGCCGTGAACCAATGCCAAGAAATGCTGAGCTGGATTCTCCTCGCCGAGTAATCGTTTCATGTTCCTGGGACACTTCCACTTGGGCAGATGAAGGAGGGCAGGGCGGGGGAGCTTGCATGTGGGGAGGGCCGGGGGGTGGGAGGCTCCCACAGCTTCCCAAGACCTGCCCCTCCAAATCTGATCACCCGGCCTGTGTGACTCCTGAGCAAACCCGGATCCTTGCTGCCAAAGGCTCCCCAGCACCCGCCTGCACCCAGGCTGCGGAGCGGGACTTGTGAGACAGCTCCTAATGGAGATCATGGAATCCCAGCCTGGTTTGGGTTGGAAGGGACCTTAATGCTCATCCAGTGCCACGGGCAGGGACCCCTTCCACTGGAGCAGCTTGCTCCAAGCCCCTGTGTCCAACCTGGCCTTGAACACTGCCAGGGATGGGGCAGCCACAGCTTCTCTGGGCACCCTGTGCCAGTGCCTCAGCAACCTCACAGGGAAGAGCTTCTGCCTAAGAGCTCATCTCAGTCTCCCCTCGGGCAGGTTCAAGCCATTCCCCTTGGCCTGTCCCTACAGGCCCTTGTCCAAAGCCCCTCTCCAGGTTTCCTGCAACCCCTTTAGGCACTGGAGCTGCTCTCAGGTCTCCCGTTAAGGAGCCTTCTTTTCCCCAGGCTGATCCAGCCCAGTGGAGACTGGGAAGGCCGGGATGCAGCAAAGCAGCAGCCGGAGCCAGGAGGCAGCAGGGACATCCCATCCCATCCCATCCCATCCCATCCCATCCCATCCCATCCCACAGGACTCTGCTGCCTGGCCCAGGAGAAGGAACCAGCGGTCACACAGCACATTTCCCCCCGCAGTGGAAGCACAGCTGTCTCTTGTCCATGGCCAGCAGCCGGTTTCCATCTCTCCTGGCTGCGCACACACAGATTTCCAGCCGCCTTCCTGAGCTCCTCATAGAACCAGCTTGTTGCCCACGTGGCTGGTGGAGCCTTGCAGGGGGGAGCCCCAAACACCGGCCCAAGTCGTGGTCACCGGCCGAGGTCCAGCCCCGCTCTGCTGCTTCCACACCAAGAGCTCCCACCTCGTGTTCAAGCAGGGAACATCTCCATAGGGAATATGATGCAGGAAAACCACCCCTGTAGGCACATGCAGGGGGAACAGCAGCAGGGCAGCTCCATCCTCCAGGAAGCCATGAGGACAACACCGTGAGTAAACCAGGGTCCTTCCCCCTGTGGAGGTACAAGAGGACGATGCTCCCAGCATCACCCATAGGGATGCTGCAGCAGGAATCACCTCGTGCCTGGCCACCCCCTCTGTGCTTCCCATGCCCATCCGTGCCGGGTCCTGGTGCTGTCGTGACACGGGCATGGTGTGAGTCAGCAGCCGTGAGGTTTCCCAGTGGAAACGCTTCCTGCACCGTGGAGCAAGGACCAAAGGGAGCCTCGAAGGAAGCGCAAGGAACCCGCATGGGGCTGAACAGCATCCAGGGAGTCGGTGCAACCTTCCGGGTCATTGAAGCCTCCAGCCCCTCAGGGAGGCTGCAGGGAAGCGCAGAGGATGCTCCATGGATCATGGGCTGGGTGCTGGTTATCCCCATGGAACAGGAGGGCCAAGCCTGTGACTCCACCAGCACCTAAGGGCATCACTTCCACCTTCCACTGTGAGCTGATGTGACAGCAGCCACTGGCTGGGGCATCCCAGCCCCACCAGCCTGGGGCAGGAGCCTGGTCCCCAGCTCTCAGCAGGCCAGCAATGGGCATTTCCCCCCATGGAGCCCCCCATGCACCCCGCAGCCATCCTCAGCTGAGGAGCTTGATTGCTTCCATAGCCCAGGCTTGCAGCTAGAAGAGAAAACACAAAACATGTTTTTTGCATTAAAATTTCCCTTGAAAAACAATGGTTTAAACCAAGCATCAGAAAAGCAAAGAATCCAGAAAGGGGAAAAAAAAAAAAGAAATAAAAAGGGAAAATTTTGGTGGAGCCTGAAAGCAGCTCCCTCCCTGGAGACCTTGAACTTCCCCCGAGGTGGGCTCTAGGAGATACATGATATGGGCACTATATGATATGGGCGTTACAAACCATGCTGCTTCCCTGCCTCCATGGCTTCCAGTCCCTGCCTGCTGGTGACATCCCAGAGGCACGCAGGGAGCTGGCAGGGGCCCTCACACCAGCAGCATCCCTCCCTTTGGCCTCCCAGCCTGTCGGTGCCGGGGCTCCTCGCAGGTTATCAGGAGGAGCCGGATGAGCGCCAGGGAGGGATCCGGGATCCGGACCGGCAGCCGGAGGGGCAAGGCTGGGGGAGACGAGGTGGGGGATGTAAATCTCCTGATGTGATCTGTCTGTTGAGTGAATTCAAAGGGAGACCGATTCAAATGCGCCGTGACATGACTGGCTCGGGGCTGGCAGACAATCCCTGCAGTGTTTGTAACAAATCTCGCCGCTTTCCTTTGAGTGGCCTCCAATTTATTAATTAAAATAGGCAATTATATCTAATGTGGGGTGGAGGGGAGCGGGGAGACCAGCTGCACCAGTTATTCTCACTTGGCAGGAACCGTGCTGGAAAGCTGCTCGAGCTCCAGGAAGGTTCTTGTGCTCTCAAGCCTCAAGGCAGAGCTTGGGACGGATCCCGCCTGGCACAGCCGGGCCTGGAAAACCAAGCAGCGAGTGGGCTGGAGCTACAGCGACCGCTTCATTTAAGAGCAGAGGACCTGGAGGGCAAGACCTTGTAGGAAATGACTTGCTTGAGTTGGCAGCAGAGATGGAATTCCGTGCCCAAAGTCACTGCTCCCAACCCGGACCCACGAGCCGGGTCCTGTTAGTGTCACCATCCATCCCTCCGTGTTCACTGAGAGGAAACACAATGAGCCAGAGCCCCTTCAGCACAGCACCACAGTGGGGAGCACCATTGAGCACATGTTGGTGCGATGCCGCGGCACCGGGCTGTATCCCAGTGTCAATCCATCAGGATTGACCCAGAGCGCTCGGTGCTCCCTGCAGGACATGCTGCCGTGGGGCTGGTGATGGGCTCCCTGCTCTGTGCTGGAAGCTGGACCCCACTGCAGCGCCATGGGGCTGGTCTGGCGCTCGGGACACGTGCATGCACCAACACAGGTCCATGCCGCAGCCCGCGGCTGCCCCCCGCCAGCGCCTGGCACGGGGGCACTGCATTAAGTAACGTCTCGGGCCGTGAGCTCATCGCCAACACCCACAGCGATGTGAGGGGCAGCACCGGGTGCTACGGGAACGGGCCTTGACAAACCTCCACCGCAGCCACATGGGCTGCCAGGAGCACCCCGGGGGCTGGCGGGCACCATGGCACAGGGCACCCGGTGCTCCCCTCCGCCTGACAGCACTGGGGATGTTTGGGCTTCGCTGCCGATCCCTATGGCAGGGGGATCTCAGCCCTACACCCAAACACCTGCAGGTTCTGTGGCAGAGATCAGAGCACCCATGGGTACCTGTGGGCCCTGGTCAGGGATCACCGAGGGCCACGTGTCCCCCTCCGCAGCGTAGCCCAGTGGGGTCTTGAGAGATGTCTCCCACCCCATCCCACAGGGCAACAACAGACCCAGGGTGTTTTCCACTGCCCTTGGCCAAAACCCTCCCTTCTTTCCCTTTGGCTCTCCTGGAGCAGGCTCTGCCCAAGGATGAATCGATACCGGGCCGGGAGGTGTCACCCCTTCGTCAGTGCTCTCAGGTGAGGGTGCAGTTCACTGCTTTCTGCAGCACCGTGGGAAAGCCTCCCCAGCCGCTGCCTTCCCAGCGTGACTCAAATGTGCTCCGGACCAACCCCAGCGCCCTCGGGGGCAGCGGCAGGGGACCAAAGACCCGGCTCCTGGGGTGTGTGCAGCCCCCCCCCCCAGGAGCGATGGAAGAGGTGGGATTGCAGCGGGGCCAAAGGCTGGGCATGGGGCTGCGTGGGGGCAGTGGGAACATCCAGCCCTGACAATGTGGGATCCCGTCTCCACACTCAGCATCAGGGACAAAGCGGTGCTGGAGGTGGCAGGCTGCAGGCTTTTATCTCCACGTGCGTTAATACCCGTTGCCGTTTGCATCCCGACGAGTGTTGCCACGTTCGGCTTCCACAGTTCCTGCGTCAGGGAATTCCAGAGGGACAAAGTCAGTGGAGCCGGATCCTTCCCTCCCCATCCCACAGGCACCCGGCATCCATTTGATCAAGTGGCAACTTGTCCTCCAACCATGAGACAGGGCAAGGAGAAACGCATCCATCCACGTCCTCGGCGTGGAAGGGAACTTCCCTGCGGGGTGTGCAAGTGCCCCATCCGGGGCTGCGGGCTGCCGCGCTCCATCTGGCTCCAGCCAGAGCCACCTCCCGAAGTTCCAGGACTCGCAGCACTTTCCTCATGGACCGTAAATAATTCCTAACGTGTCTCATCACCAGCTGGGCTCATCCATCAGCCGCTAAACGGCTGCGGAGTTGTCCCGCCGCTGTCACTTTCCACATCAAACCCTTCCAGAAGTCCCGGGCTGGCTACGGAGCCGTTCCATGGGCACTTCCCGCAGTGGCTCCCCACTTGTCCCTTGCCCAGCAGCAGCTCTCGGAGGTCTTTGCTCTCCCGTGCTAGGGTCTGGAATCCCGGCTCAAAAGCGGGAGCAGCAAAACCTGGGATGAAGATGCCACCTGCTGGAAGCGGGGCTGGCGCACCCCGAACGCCCCCCCCAAACCCAGCACCCCACAGCCTCACCATGCAGAAACTCTCAATCCCGCTGCCCTGCAGCCTCATCACCCGCACCCCAAAACCCCACCACCCGATGAGTACCGTGCAGCCCCCCCTGCTCCCCCCAAAGCCGTGCCCTTGGGTTTGAGCTGGATTTGCCACACGGTTCCAAGCCAGCAGAGCCAAGTCCTGGCTCCTTCCCGAATCACCCCAAAAGCCCGGCCATGGAGGGAACCCCCTAAACCCAATGGCTTCATCGGCTACTCCAAATGCTCCCAGCACCCACCAGGGAGCTCTAGGAGGGGAGCTTACACGGAAGAGGCTTTTGCCAAGGTGGTACATCCACATCCTTCCAGGGCTTGGGATTGGCACTGGAAAACGCGCTTTTCCTTCAGTTTTGGGGGGCCTCAGTCTCTCCCCATCTCAAAGTAAAACAGCTCGAGTTTAGAGATGAAGTTTTAAAACCCCCTTCACTGAGGGGGTTCATTAGTAAGGGGAAAACAACCCCAAAAGCACAAGAATGGGCACAAATGACCCCAGCGGGTCCATCCCACTCTTCCTCAACAGGACCATCTCATCCTCCTCATCACATCCTCCTCAGCGCTGTCCCCATCACCACAGGCCGGCTCTAACCGGGCCATGAAGTGCCTGGAAGACCCGGGCACCTCTCCTGAGGCCGTGGGGCAACAGCCCTGAGGGAATAAAAGGGATCGGGACCAGGACCGGGACCGGGACCGGGACTGAGACCGGGACCGACACTGACACCGAGACTGGGGTCGACACCGAGACCGGGACCGACACCGAGACTGGGACCAACACTGACACCGAGATCCGGACCGACACTGAAGCCGGGACCGACACTGACACCGAGACTGGGACCGGGACTGACACCGAGACCAACACTGACACCGAGACCGACATGCCACCAAGACCGGGACTGACACTGACACCGAGACCGGGACCAACACTGACACCGAGACCAGGACCGACACCGAGACTGGGACCGGGACCGACACAGGGACCGGGACTGACACTGACACCGAGACCGGGACCGACACTGACACCGGCACCGGGACCGAGACCGACACCGGGACCGACACCGAGACTGGGACCGACACTGACACCGAGACCGGGACCGACACCGAGACTGGGACCGGGACTGACACTGACACCGAGACCGGGACCGACACCGAGACTGGGACCGGGACTGACACTGACACCGAGACCGGGACCGACACCGAGACTGGGACCGGGACTGACACTGACACCGAGACCGGGACCGATACCGAGACCGGGACCGGGACCGACACCGACACCGACACCGACACCGACACCGACACCGACACTGACACTGACACTGACACCGGGACCGACACCGGGACCGACACCGACCTAAGCTCCAACCCCGGTCTCGAACCCGTGGTCTCCCTGCAGCTACACCCTCAGGGCCACGCCCTTACTCCCTTAAGCCCCGCCCTCCACCAACCCCCGCCCATCCGCAGCGCTCCCCCCCCTTCCCCTCCCTTTCCGCGTTTCTCTCTCCTCTCTGCTTCCTGTCCCCTCTCGGCCGCCGTCGGCCGCCGTCGCGCGTCGCTGGGCGGAGCGGGGTGATCCGGCGAAGGGGGGGGGGGGGGGGGGGGGGAAGATGGCGGAGGCGTCACCGCAGCCGGGACGGTTCTTCTGCCACTGCTGCTCGGCCGAGATCGCCCCGCGCCTGCCCGTGAGCACCGGGGGCACCGGGGGCGGCTCCGGGACCTGCCCGGGGCGGTGGTTGGGGGGGGGCTGCAGTGGGCCGGGCACGTGGGGGTGAGGCCTGAGAGGGGGCCTGCGGAAGAAGGGGGGCGGGGGGGTCGGGCCTGTAGGGCGGGCGTTGGGGCTGTGGGGGGCACGGAGCCCCCCGGCCTGGGGGAAGCAACCGGGGAAAGGGGGGGGATGTCCGCGGGGTGCCCCCATCGAGGGGGGGTCCGGTTCCTCTGTGGGGTGAGGACGGGGGTTATGGGGCGTCTTTTGGGGGGGGGGGGGTGTTAACCGAGCGGCGGGGGATAACGGCTGGGCCCGGCCCGCTGCCGTTCGCCAACGCGGTGAGGGTGCGGGTGCGCTCCGAAGGGCCCCCCGGGGTGGGGGTGGTGGTGGGAGGGGGGGGTCGGTCCCGGTGCGGGGAGCGTTGGGTGTTGGACGCGTTGCGGTGGGATGGGCTGTGAGGGTGAGCTCGGTGGGGAGCAGCACCCGGTTCTTGTCCTGAAGCTTCTCCCGGTGTCGGCATCAGGCGTTGGGTTTGGGGAGCTCAATGGTGGAAGTCAGCCCCTGAGCGGAGCTGGTCAGGCCCTGCCTGTCGGTTGGGGTTTGGGATGTGCTGGTTTGCGCTTCCCCCTTCTCCAGCGAGGGCAGAGCTCGTGGGTTTAGGCGTGAGGACAAAGCTCGGGCTAAATACAGCGAGGGGCTGGAAACCGGGCTGTGACCGACCTGGCGCTAGCAGTGATTTGTTGTTTAACGAACGCCCCGTGATGGCTGCGCTGCCGGAGCACAGCTGGCCCCGGAGCACACTGAACCGTAGCAGGGAGCCAACGGTGGCTTTTGTCGACTCAGGTCTCTTAAACTGCTGCTTCATTAACTTCTTTTGGGGCGGGGGAGCCTAGTTCATTTGGGTTCCGGCGCTGTTTGCAGGTGGAGCTGCTGTGGCACACGCTGGGAGAGGAGCCGTTCAGGCAGCCCCCAGCCGACAAACGTTGACGTTTGTGCTGGTCCAGCTGCAGAGGAATTTGCTGATCCCGGTGTTGGGAGCCTGTCAGCGCACACACACACACACACACACACACACGCCCCAGCCTCTAAGCCAGGAGGGGTGAGAGGAGCGAGCTGCTGTAATCATCTACCCCCGGCATGGAAAGTAACCCAAGAGCGGGGGTATTTCACACGCAGAGGGGAGCTGATCCCCCCCTGCTCCACGCAGGAGCTCCCTGGGGCTGCTGAGAGGCTCTGGGGAGCATTTGGGTGTTGTAGAAAGGTTCCGGAGATCAAACAGGGTGCGAGTTGTGTGGAGCCGGTTCCGCCAGCACCGCAGCTCCTCCTGAGCAGAAGAGGGAGCAGCAGCTTCCCTGAGTCTGTTTCTAGGTCTTGCGTTTGCCGGTTCCTTATCTCGCTGGGCAGGATCCGGGTGCTGGGACCTTATCAGGTTATTCCGGGGTGGCTGGAGGAGCCATCCCAGCTGTGTTATCAGAGCAAACCCACGTGCTGGCATCCTCCCTTCTTTTGGGGAAACCCTTGGCCTTATTGCAGGGCCTGTGCTAATCCCAAGGCAGCAGGAGGAAAGGGAAGTAGCTTTCTTTGCTGCAGCTCTTCATTCTCTTCCACGCTGAGCCCTGCTCAGGGTTCCCAGTGCTTGTGTTTGGCCACGGTGGCTCTTCCTCCTCGGTCTCTGTTGCTTCCTCTTCTGCCTCAGCGGTGCTGCCGCTCGCTGGGGCGGTGTGGTTGTGGAGTACAAGGCTGGGAATTGGGAGGCAAAGCGACTGGGGCAAACCCCTGAGGAATCCTGCTCCTTTCATCCGATGTATTCAGCCTTCGAGGCGGGCAGCAGCTTTCTGTAACCAGCTCTGAGTGTGGGAGGGTCAAACCCCGGTATTGTGCTGAGCAGAATGAGCCTCTTGTGTCTCCCTGACTGTGGTGTGAACCCCTGGCTGCATTAGGAGCAGCTTCCCGGTCCTCAGCCCTTCCTAAGCAACAGCACCGCTGATTCCCCACTCGTGGAATGCTGCACTTCTCTCCTCGTGTCTTTCATCGCCCATGGTTCAGCCTCTGGAGGGGGTGAGGGCTGACCCCCATAACATGCACCTGGTTACGACCTCGTCTTTGGGTGCTGCTGGTTTGGCTTTCACTTCCCCAAGAGCTGCATCACGGGTTCCTTAATGCTCTCTCTGTACTGGGGGTGAATCCGTGTTACCCAAGTCTTGCCTAAAGCCAGGTTCCAAACAGGCTCAGGCTGATGTTTGCCTCCCCAGCCTGCTGAAGACAAATAGCAGGGGTTTGGGGCCTCTCTTCCCAGCCTTTATGGACCCCTTTCTTTTCTCACTCTCTTTCTTCTCCCATAGGACTATATTTGCCCCCGGTGTGAATCTGGGTTTATTGAAGAACTTCCTGAAGAGCCAAGGTAATGTGCTGCCCCAAAGGGTATTGCTACAGTGACCTCACCCTGCTCTGCTCATTCCCTTTCTCTAGTTAAAGGGCAATGCTGGGTACTAAATACACCATCTTTAGTCTTCCTGCCCAGTATTTGCCTTACCTTTCCTCGCTCTGGCTATGCAGTGCTTAATCTGTAGTTTGCATCTGCAGGTAAAGCAGCCATGGGAATGCCAAGCGTTGTGTGCTGCTGCTGCAGGGTGGAAAAGGCATGGGTTGATGTAAAACAAACACCAAAGGGTGGTGGAGAGGCTTTCCCCTTGGCACGGGGGAGCTCTGAGCTGGTTTGAGTCATCAGGGTAGAGGTAACCCTCAGAGAGGAGTCTGAGGGACCGAGGGTGCACGTAAGCTTCAGCCTCTCATCTCATAGAGTACAAACAGCACGTTTTGCCTGAGACTTTGGACTGGAGCAGCTGAGACCTGCGTTCATGTGCTTCCCTGCTGAGTCAGCACTGGCACTGCTCTGGCACCAGCACAACAGGACAATGTTGGAGGTGTTTGCCAGCCTTTGGGACGGGCCATGTGAGGGGCACCGGGGCTGTGCCAGGCACGTGTTGGTGCCCGCTGCGAGAGCTGAGCTTGAGGCTGAGGTTGCTGTACTGACAAGGTGACGTTTGGTGTGACCATGCCAACCTGCCAGGGCTAATCCGAGCTGGAGCAAGGGTTTGCTGTGACCTTGGGAGAGTTCTTTCTGAACCAAAGGGTGTTTGGTACCATGAATGTCAAAGTGTGGGCCTGGATAGTGAGCAGTGAACGTTCCTGCAGCTCTAAAAGCAGAACAGCATCGAGACTTCTCCTCCTCATCTGTCCCCTTTTGGTCACGTGCCTCTGGAATAGAGAAGTTCCTCTGCCTCAAGATTAGACTCAGGCGTGTTTGGGTCATAGCAGTCAGGGTTTGTTCTTGAAGTCATCTCTTCCTGGTGCTCCAGGGGATTAACTCAGCTGTTGTAGAGGGATTGTGCAGGAGATCCTCGCCTGACGTCGTGGTTCACTCACTGCTCTGTAGCTTCCTGCAGTCGGGAGCTGAAAGGGTAGGGAGAGGTGGGGGGGAGATGTGGGAAAACGAAGGTTGCAGGGAGGGGAAAATGAAAAGGGACATGGGCAATTGGAAAACCATCAGGTGAGGACTGGTTCCTGTGTGGTGCTGACCCTGTGCTGGGGTGGAGGAGCCCCGCACAAATCCCAGCCAACGCTTTCTGTGTGCTGTGGTGGCTGCTTCTCCTGTCACACTCCAACCCTCCCTCCCCCCCTTCTGCTGGGCAAAGCTTCTCCTAGCACCCTCCTGAGGCTCACAGGTGCTCTTCATCCTTCACAGGAACGCTGACAATGAGACCAGCTCCTCTACAACAGCCAGTGACCAGAGCAGGCACCCTTTTGAGGTGAGTGTTCACCATCTCTTCCAACCCTTCCTGCTTTGCTGCTGAATTGAGGTATTTTTCCATGAAATGTTCCCTGGATTATGCCAGAATTTGGGAAAGGAGGTGTTAACACCATCCACATGCAGCTCCTGACATCTCTGCTTGTTGTATTTTTACTGTGTGTTTTTAATAGGACCATCCCTTGTAGCTTACTGGTGTTGTGAGGGGCTTGGACTGGGGCTGTTGCTGCGCAGTAGCCTCAGCACCAGGAGCTGAAGAGAAGCAGGGCTGGTTTCTTACCTTCATGCATGGTTTCAGTCTGTGTTCCTCACTAAACCACTGCTGCCCAAGCTTGTGAGGTGCTGGGGGGCCTGAAGACACTGGTCTATACTGGGAGGCTGGCGAAACACAAGAGCTGTTTCTCTCCTCGCTCCAATCCATTCTCTGACCTCTCTCCCCCCCACCTTGCAGAACGTGGATCAGCACTTATTCACCTTGCCACAGGGCTACGGCCAGTTTGCCTTTGGCATCTTTGATGACACCTTTGAGTTCCCGTTCGGGTCCAACGTGCAGTCGGAGGACAACAGGGACTCGGAGAACCGGCGGGAGCGGGAGCACCAGTCGCGGCATCGCTACGGCGCCAGGCAGCCGCGCGCCCGGCTCGCCACCCGCCGTGCTGCTGGCAGGCACGAGGGGGTCCCCACGCTCGAAGGGTGAGAACAGGGGCCCTGGTCTCAGCTCTTCTACAGCTGGAAATCAGCCCCGAAGCTTCTGTCAGTTTGGGGAGCAGGCGCTTGCAGGCTGCAGGGTATCGCTCCTTTTCCTCCTGCTGAGCACTCAGCCTGTCTCAGAGTGGTTTGGGTTGATGGGACCTTAAAGCTCCTCCAGCTCCAACCCCTGCCACGGGCAGGGACCCCTTCCACTGGAGCAGCTTGCTCCAAGTCCCTGTGTCCAACCTGCCCTTGAACACTGCCAGGGATGGGGCAGCCACAGCTTCTCTGGGCACCCTGTGCCAGCGCCTCAACACCCTCCCAGGGAAGAGCTTCTGCCTAAGAGCTCATCTCAGTCTCCCCTCGGGCAGGTTCAAGCCATTCCCCTTGGCCTGTCCCTACAGGCCCTTGTCCAAGCCCCTCTCCAGGTTTCCTGCAGCCCCTTTAGGCACTGGAGCTGCTCTGAGGTCTCCCCTTCAGGAGCCTTCTCCAGGCTGATTCAGCCTGGCTCGGGACCAGAACTGCTTCAGCCCTGGCAGCATCTCCATGGCCTCCTCTGGCCTTGCTCCAATAATCCTGGTTTTCTTGTCTTCCAGAATTATCCAGCAGCTGGTCAATGGAATTATTGCACCTACAACAATACCAAACCTAGGACTAGGTCCTTGGTGAGTTGGGAGATGTACTGCTCTTCCTGACAGTGCTCTTGTCCGTGCTCCCAGCCAAATGTAATTGTTGTCCTTGTTCTTCAAGGGGGGTCTTGCATTCGAACCCGATGGACTACGCGTGGGGTGCCAACGGCTTGGATGCCATTATTACACAGGTAATGGAGCTTCCTGTCCCCTCCTGTGGTGCTGCAGGGTTCAGTAAATGAAGGGATCCTTTGCACTGCTGAGCTCACACCTAACTTTGGTGGCCTCTTGTTTTCCAGTTACTAAATCAGTTTGAAAACACTGGACCGCCACCTGCGGACAAGGAGAAGATCCAGGCCCTCCCCACCATACAGATCGCACAGGAGCACGTAGGTACGTGTGTCTCCTCCAGGGAATTGGTCACCAGGACCACTGGGAATGTTTTCCTGGGGCTTTAATCTTGTCTGCTGGTACCTTCAAGGCCTAAAACATTTCAAAGAGGCAGAGTGCTGAAGCGTTGCTCTGTGGTGCTCACACCAAAGCAAGAGGAGCGTGGACTGGATGGGTTTGCCCTGGGGAGGCTGTTCTGAAAAGCTCAGTGTGGATAGAGCTGAGCAAGCAGAAGGGAAGGGAGCAATGAAGTGAACCCGGGGCAGCAGGAGGTGGAGCTGTGGTAGGAACTGCAAAGCACCAAACTCCTGTCTTCAGGGCTGAAAGGGGGGAGGAGAAGAGGTGACAGGGTCCTGGCTCAGCCTCATTCTCTCCTTCCCTGAGCTGTGTTTTGCTTTCCCTTCCCGGTGCAGATTCTGGGTTAGAGTGTCCTGTGTGTAAAGAAGACTACACAGTCGGGGAAAGCGTCCGACAGTTACCATGCAATCACCTATTCCACAACAGCTGCATAGTCCCGTGGCTGGAGCAGGTCAGTGCTGCCCGTGTGGGTGACGGGGACTCGGGGCACTTGGGGCTTTCTCCTGGTGGCACCATGCCCCTCTGTGACTATTCTTATGATGAGGCTGGAGCATTTGACCCAAGGCGCTGCCCCCCTGTCGTGTTTCTAACCCTGTTTCCCACATTTCATGTGCTGGTTCTGTCTCCTCAGCACGACACGTGTCCTGTGTGCCGGAAGAGCCTAAGTGGACAAAACACTGCCACAAACCCCCCAGGACTCACAGGGATGAACTTCTCCTCCTCTTCCTCCTCCTCTTCCTCCAGTTCACCAAGTAACGAAAACTCATCGAACAACTCATGAATCTTCCTCCAAACCCCCCTGTCCCCGGGGCCCTTTGTCCTTTCCCCCCCCTTCCCCAGCCATCGACCGGGGCTTCCAAAGCAGAGCGAGGGGCAGGCGTGCGGACGGGGTGGGGAGGCAGTGCCCCAGGTTCCCTTTCCAGTTCCGAAGGCACGGAGACTCTGGCTCCTTCAGAGACGAGAAGCCTCAAGTCCTGTGATGGGGGGAAGGAGCTCTGTCAGTTAATAAACCATCCCTTTGGTGCATGGACTTTGAGCAGTGCCCAGCTCCCTGGCCGGGCCCCCCCCCCCAGGCGCTGAGCTCGCGGTTGTGATTCCCAATGGAAAGGTTGTTCGTATGGATTTAAGATTCCTTCCTTTCCCTTCCTTTCTTTTGCTCCTCCTCCCCTTGGATCCTCTCCCTTACTGCTTTGAAGTCTTTAAAATGAAAGCATCACGATGCTGCCTCCCCCCAGCAGCCCCAGCTGGGGACGGCCGATAGTTGTCACTGAATGAGTGAACTCATGACTTAGTCCCCGTTATCCCGCCCGGCCCCAGCTCCAATCCCACTTATTTTTTTTCTTTATAACCTCGCCCTTCTGATACTCAACACTGAAAAAGGGGTTTTTATAATTCTAAATTATTACTGCTGTCAAATAAAGAGACGTTTCAGCTCAGCGAGGTGTTCTGCATGGTTTGAGGAACAGGACAGGGTAAGTGCCTGGCCCCGTGGTGCCAAGTGTCCTATCCCACCCCGGGTACCAGTGCCTGTAGGTGTGTTACCAGCCTGCGGATCGCTGGGATCACAGTGGAGAGGAGCATTGCCTGACCTGATGTATTTTTACACCTCCCTGTTGCAGTCCTGCCTGAGCAGCCTTTCCTGCTGTGCTGCCATCGGGATGGGGCGTGCAGCAGAGCAAGGCCCAGCCCAACTATCGTGATCGGGTGATAGAGACAGGGAAAAACCCACAGTCTGCATGGAGAAAAATGTAGTTCCAAGCTACTTAAAACACAGCCGATTACAAAAGGAGAGCTCAGGACCCAGGGGTGGTTTCTGTGACAGGAGCTTGGAGAATGAAAAGAATGTGACCAGAGCAGGCAGTGACCTACCTGTGTCTGTGCTCAGCGGGCCAGGAGGGGAGCAGAACCTCGCTTGGTTTTGCTCTGGATCTCCGGTGTGGCCTCAGCAGCCTTGGGAGCACGGGGTGTTTGCGGCAGCGCTGCATGCTCCAGGGTAAGCATCAGGACATGGGGGTTTGATGTCTCTTGCAGCATGGCCTTAACCTAGGATGTGTGTGTCGTCCCCCCCCAGAAGGGGGAAAGCAGGGACCTCGTTTGCTGGGTTTGGGGCCATTCTGGACCACGAGGAGGGCAGGTTTGTTGGAGCCACGTCCCCGGCGCGGGTGGCAGCAGCCTTTGCCAATCCGGCCCAGCGCGGCCGGCGCTGAGCAACTCCCCTGGAATGTTTTTCCTCCTTGGCTTTGCCAGGGCAGCCCAGCGGCGCCTTTCATCTCACGGGGCAGATGCCTGCGGGACCAGGCTTTATCTCAGGACTGGTAGATCAGGGTAAATGGCTCGTCCTCCGAGCTCCTGGGCTTGGGAAGTGGGTGGCAGCAGGAAGGGCCCTGGTGGAGCCCGTGTGTGCCCAGCAGCGTGGAGGCAAAGCTTTGCTCTCTACTCACCAAAAGGCAGCCCGGGAGCCCTTCAAATCCCTTCCTTCTCCCAGCACACTCCAGCTGCAGATGGTGCGTGTGGCTCCTGGAGCTCGGGGGTTGATTTCCCCCTGCGTGAGCAGTGCTCAGGGGGATGCACAGCCCATGGTGGGTGCATGGCAGAGGCTCCCGGCCCGCGCCGCGGTCACCACGCAGTTAATGCGGTGGCAGTTCCCTCTCTCAGACTCGTTTGGAGCTGGTTGGGTAGGAAATGGAACGAGTTTGGTGGTTTTCAGTGGGGCCATCGTGTCTGACGTGACAAAGTGACCAGGCTGCGGTGCCTGGCTGCGGAGCGTGGCGCAGGACCAGCCCTGGCGCTGTTTGTGCCCATGCTCCCCTCCAGGCAAGGGACTGGTCACCATCCACTTTCCCGGCTCCACTTCCACTGGGGATAATGGATGGGGCAGCCCCACTGCACCTCGGTGCCCACTGGGCATCGTTTGCATCCATGGGGGTCCTGGTGCTCCCGCTGGGGACCAGGTCTGGTCCCTTTGCTTGTGACATCCTAGTTCAGGGTCTGCACATGGTGGGGAACAGCATCCTCGCTCCCTCCAAGCAGGGCTGTGTGCACCTGAGGGTCTGGGCTGGCTCATGAGGTGAGAGCCCATTGCCGTGATGCAGCAGGACAGCAGCTGTGACCCTCTCATCCCCCTTTGCCTTGTCCCTTTATGTCCCTAGGGCTGCATGCCCCTGCGCTGAGCCTGGCACCTCCCAGGGGATGCTCCCATTTGGAGCGGGTGCTGGTAACACATCAAGTGTGAGCACAGGGTCCAGGCTCTTTCCCTGCTCCATCCTTCCTGCCCCTGAACACCCATCACTGGTGCTTCCCGGGGGTGTTTGGAGCTGGGTCCAGCAGGGATGCTGCTGGGGGATGCAGGCACAACCCCAGGGGACCCAAACCCACCCTCACAGCACCAACACCCACTGCCTGTTCCATGCCACGAACACAGCTTTAATTGCCACCAGTGCCGGGACAAGAGCCAAATGCAACCCACCAACACGTCCCAGCCCTTGCACACACACACACACACACCAGTGGCAGAGAGCCACAACGGGAGGGCAGGGAAGAGCCGGATCCCTGCACGGCTGCATCTGGAGCATCTTCCTCCCGCATCCATCCAAACCAAACCAATAAATAACATAAAAATAGATCTGTACATAAATAAAATCACCCTTTCCCCCCCCAAGTTTTCTCCCCCGGGACGGGCTCAGCCGACGAGCATGGGGAGGAAGTGCGTGGAGAGCTGCTGCCGCCGCGTCTTGCCCCCTCGTTGTGGCCTGCCCTTGCTATTGAGCGAGAGGAACATGGGGCGGCCCCGGTGCCGCCAGCGCAGCGCCGCGTACGTGTTGTAGCCGTTCTCCTCGATGCGCTCCATGAACTTGCAGTTGGGGCTGAATTCCTTCTGGCAGGAGAGGGAAGGGGGTGAGCGGCGGCTGCGCTCGGCGCCCATCATCACCCTGCTCCGGTGGGATGGAGCCCAGGGGCAGAGCAGGACACCAGTGCCTGGGGGATGCTCTGTGGGTGCAGCCCCCGATGGGGAGCGGGGCAGTGCACAGGAAACCAAAAGCCTGCTCCTGGGCACCGGTCCCGGGGGGTTTGGGACCCCCTGTTCCAGCTCTGCCCTGTGCCTCCGACCCCACTCCCCGGAGACAGCATCCGACCTACCGACCCATAGAGCCTGCCCCGCTTGTTCATGGCCAGGTAGAAGCCGGTGTGCACCGCACGGATGGCCACGACGCCGACACGCACCGACCGGATCTCGACGATGCCTGTGGGACAGGGACAGGGAATGAGGGCTCAGCCGAGATTGGGAACCTCTGATCCAGGGGGGATTCCATCTTTACTCCTTTCCTCCCCAGGGTCCAGACGGTTCCCAGGAGGCCGATGGGACTGGGACGGTGCTGCCTGTGGATGCTGGTGGCACCAGTGCGGATACACGGCCCTGCACCGGGCACCGTGGGCAGAAGGGATGCGATGGTGCTGCAGGATGTGGAGATGAGCCCGGGAGGTGGCTGCAGCCGGGCTGTGGCTGCCCTGGTGTGTGCCCGGCACAGCCGCTAATGGGAAAGGCATGCGGTCGGACCAGCAGCTCCGACACAGGGAACACCCAGAGCATCGGCAGGGCCTTTGGGTTCCTGCACCGCATCCTGCCCTGCTGCCCACCGGGCACACGCTGCGCTGGGAAGGGGAGAACGGAGCTCCAGTGGGCAGAGACACGGGCAAGGGGCGAGGTGCAGCCCATGGGCACCACTGGATGAGGATGAGACGGCAGCTCCAGCACCTCGGGGTGGGGGTTTTCACCAGGCACCAACCCCCTGGCACCCACCAGGACCTGCAGGGTTCAGTGAAGCCATTGCCAAGCTGCAGCCATGGGGCAGGGTTGAGCAAGTGCCTGTGACTCCATCCCCACCTGATCCCTGTCTGGAGCTGCTATTTATAACAAAGGACTTGTGCTGTCCCCAAAATAGCCCCTGGCGCTTTGCTTCCCGGTGCCTGGTTCTGGAGGACAGAACCAGGCTCCCAGTCTCACCCCTCCAGTCCCAGAGCCCCACTGCAGCCATGGTGAGGGCTGAAGAGCAAGAGCCCAAGTGATAAGCAGAGTGAGCCCTATGGGAGCTCCCGGGGCCGGTCCTCCTGCCAGGCCCCATGGCAAATGAACGTGTTGGGGTGCTTGGCGCTGGCAGCGCTCCCGGCTGGGGCTCCCAACAGCCTCCGGCACCGCAGGAGGGCTCCCTGAGCCGTGGCTCCCTCATCCTGCGCTGGGTGGGTGACAGGGGCAGCCGCTGCTGCCACCGGGACAGGGGCTGGGGGATGCTGCGCCCATCCTCAGCATCATTCCTGCCCCACATCCCAACGCCCTGCCAGGCCCCCCTGGAACACTCGGGCATCTCCATCACCCCCATCCAGCACCCCCCTGTCAGCCTGGTGCCTATTCCCTGTCAACGGGGACCAGAACCCAGCACCCGAAACGGGCTGGTACCATGGGTGCTGAGCTTGGGCTGGCAGCTCTGGCGCTCACTGCAGGTGCCGCATTCCCTCGGGACCCACGGCGCTGTCACCACGGAGGGGCCCCGGTGGGAGAGGATCCGGACCCTGGGATCAGCCTCTCCCCACCGGCACACGCGGCCGCTCCCGAGGGCTGCGGGGTGGAGCAGCCCCAGCCCCAGCCCCAGGGGAAGGCCTAATCCTGCCGGCTTGTTCCCAGGCTCCGGATCGCAGCTCAGTCTGGGCAGCGCCGACATCCTTCAGCGTTTGCTCTCTCTGTCCCGTCCCGTCCCCCCCGGATGTGCTGCCCGGCCCCATGAGGAGGACCAGCCCGTGGGGATCCTGCAGCAACTGACCCCACGGCACCGGGGGTGCTGTGCCCCTGTGCCACGCCAGGGGCTGCCGGCTCTGCCCACCCGGAGCCCTGCGGGCAGTGGATGCTCTGTGATTCCCTCGATGGGGCAGCTCCTCTCCCCAAAACCACGCTCATGGATGCTCAGCGCTGAGACCAACATCGTCCTCCATCCCTCCTCATCCTCTTCAGCCTTTATCCTGCCCAGAGCGGCTACAGGGAATGATCAGAACCCCCCGCTCTGTGCCGCAGGGCAAGGGACTCCCCCCACCCCGCGCCGCCCGGGTACCCCCCTCTCATTCCCTCCTTGCGCTTTCTGTCGCCCCAACAACGCGGGACAGAAGCCGGACCCCTCCGGGGGGGGGGGGCGAGTGCAGGAGGAGCCGATCGTGTCCCGACGGCCGCGGGGACGGACAGGGGGGGACGCGCGGTCACTGGAGGAGCTGCGGCATCTCCCCGGCACCGGGCACAGCGGGGCCCCGTCGCCGTCACAGGCGCCCCTGTCCAGGCCCTGCCCCGTCTGTGCCCGGCTCCGGCCGCCTCGGCCGCAGCCCCCCGGGACTGGGCTCTGGGCCCCGGGCTCCGGTGGGAGGGCGGCGGGACCCCGCCCCGCCTCGCCCCGGCTGCACTCACTGCCCGGCCGCTCCCTCCAGCGCGTCCCCTCCACGCCGCCGCTGCCGTCGATGCGCAGGAAGAAGCGGGTGGCGGAGAAGAGCCGGCGCCAGCGCACGTCGCCCTCCAAGTGGCCGTAGCTGCGGGGGGGCCGCCGGCCGCCCCAGGCGGTGCTGCCCGACCCAGACCCCGGCCCCGCCAGCACGGCGAACGCCCCGGCGAGGCAGGCGGCGAGGGCGGCGGGGCCCCCGCGCCTCATAGCGGCGGGCGGCGGGCGGGCGGCGGGGCGCGGAGGGGCGGCGGGCGGGCGGCCATGGCCACGGCCGCGACCGGCCCCGACGGCGCGGGCGGCCCGAGCGCGGAGCAGAGCGAGCCGGGGCGGGGGCCAATGGCGCGGGGCGGGGCCGAGGGGTGGGGGCGAAGGGCGGGGGCTCCCATTCATCAACCGGCACCCCGACGGCTGCCTTGTAGCCCCGGCCGGGGCCACCCGCCTGCGGTTGCGGGGCTCCGGGGCGGGGGGTGGTACATGCTCCGGTCCGCACCGGCTTCTGCGGCGGCCGGGCCGGGCTCCTCGGGCAGGTTTGGGGGAGAGGCGCGGGCCGCGGGCATGGGGGTGGTGTCGGCTTGGAGCGCGGAGCTCGGTGCCGGTTGGCACCCGGGGAAGCGCCGTGTCCCAGCGCCGGCCCCGTGGGGCTTCGCTCCCGTCCCGTCGGGGCCTCCGCTTTCCGCCGGGACGGGACGGGGGGGAGCGAGTTGCCCTGCCGCGCTGCACCATGGGAGTTGTAGTCCTCCGCTGGGGCGGAACTACGGCTCCCGACGTGCTTTGCGGCACGGCTGCGCAGAGCGCGGGGCATGGCGGCGTAGCGCGGCGGGGCATGTCGCTGCTGCGGGCGGCGCTGCCGGGCCCGGGCCGCCTGCGGGGCGCCGGTGAGCGGTGGGGAACGGGAACGGGGAACGGGAACGGGGAACGGGAACGGGAAACGGGAACGGGAAACGGGAACCGGGCGGGCGGGGGAGGCCTCTCCCGGGCAGAGCCGGGGCTGGGCGGCCCCGCAGGCCTCCCCCGGGCCTGGGGACGGAGCGGGGGCTCCCGCAGGGCTGACCCGGGCACGGGTGCGCGGAGCCGGACGGGGTCGGTGCCCGGAGCCCTGAGGTGAGGCGGGGCTCCGGTGTCTTTTGGCCCTGGGCCGCTGTCATTGCAACAGCGGCGGCCGTGGGGGTCTCTGGAGCCTGGCCCAGCGCTGGGATCGGCGTGCTCGGGGGTGCTGTGGCTTGGGGCGTCCCTGGGGTTACGGCCCCCCAACCTCCAACCATGGGTGAGGTGGGGGGGCCCTGTCCCTGTCCCCAGCCATGGTGTGGGGCAGGGAGTGCTGGAAGGGGCGAAGCTTCCTCTGAGCCCCGAGTTTTGGTGTTTTCCCACTGCAGGGATCCCATGGAGCATCCTCCGGAGCTACTCCTCTGCCAGCGCCAAGAAGGCGAAGAGAAACGTTCCCTGCGAGAGGACCGAGCTGCTGCAAGGTGGGAGAGCTGCAGCGGCCCGGGGGTGCCCCCAGGGCCTTCCCCCTCCAGGTAGAACGTATTCGGGAAGGGAAATAGCCTGAGCAAGGATGTGGGGCTTCCCATGGGCGTCCTGCTTACCCTGAGCACGTTCTGCCCTGTCCTTAGGGACCTGCAGGCCCATCCTGCTTCCAGGAAGGGCCCTGCTGACTGACCTGGAACCTGCTCTGGCTTTGGGCTGAGGCTGTGAGGTCCTTGCAGAGAGGCCCAGGGAAGCAGACAAGCGTGTGCTGGTGTCCTGTCATTGCAGTGATGATGCTGCGGTCCCTGGGGTGGGTGCTAGGACCACAGTGATCCAGGCAGCTCATTGCTGGCCAAGGAGGGGAGAAGTCCTGGTGTGGAGCCTCTTCTCCTGAGCGTGTTCCTGGGTGCTCCCAAGGCCCCTGGGGTAGGACAGAGCCTGTGCTCGGGCTTTGCATCCCTTCACTAATCCCCCCCTCTGTGTTCCCTGGCAGTGCTGAAAGCTCGGGTGAAGCAGCTCCAAGCCACCAATGGTCCAGAGGTGACGGTCAGCAAAGTGGAGCTGGCCCTGTTGGGTAATGCCAAGTGCCAGGACCCGCTGCAGGAGGTGGTGGCTCCCAAGGAAGGAGGGGAGAGCCTGGCCAGGACCAGCAGCTGGGTTGAGAAGCTGAAGAAGGAGGCGCGCATCCAGCAGCTGAAGGTGGAGCAGGTGTTGCCTGTTGCTGCCTCCAAGCTGGCTCTGGAGACTGAGGTCAAGGACAAAGCCCAGGGCAAGGTGAAAGGCAAAGGTAAAGGCAAGAAGAGCCTGAAGACCCCAAAGACTAAAGCGGTTGCAGGCTGGAGCCAGGGCCATGCTGGCTCTCACAGTGTCCATGCCCATGGGAAGCCCGCGGTAGCAGCAGGGAAGGAGGCTGTGAAGGTGCCAGGCCAGAGGGTGCTGGATGACAAGGAGAGCAGCCAGGTCAAGATCCTGCAGCAGACCATCCAGTCCAACCTCGAGTGCTTCCTGTTCCTGCAGCAGCCAGAGGAAGCAGAGAGGCTCCTCCTCATGTACCACAGGTCCCGGTCAAAGAGAAAGGTGTTGAATGTCAGCGCGTACAACATCGTGATGCGGAGCTGGGCAAGAAAGGTACTGACCTGTTGGTCTATGGGTTTCTGGGTGTCTTGGGTCGGGGGGACAGGGCTCAGGAGGAAGAGCTTTGTGCTCGTACAAGCTGTGGTCACAGTTTGAGCTGTGTCACATCTGCCTTCAGCACGGGTGCCAAGCTTCTGCGGAGAGGGCTGGAGCTGGTACGAGGCCGCTGATCCCCGTGAGGTGGCTTTGAGGGGCTGGGGCAGGATAGATGGGGCTGGATTTGAACAGGAGCAGAGGGATGTGGGGCTGCTGGTGCGTGTGTCCACAGCACCGTTCCCTTCTCCTCCCCAGGGCTGTCTGCAGCGCATCAACTCCCTGTTTTCCATGCTGGAATCTGCTGGGCTCCGGCCCAACCTGGATTCCTACGCGGCAGCACTGGAGTGCATGGGCCGGAACCCCTTCTGCGTCAAAGCCGTCTGGAGGTAACGTGGTTCTGCTTCCTTCCCCTGGCGTGGCCCAGGGTGCTGAGAGCCTGGGAGAGCGGGGCTGCTGCTCTGCTCCCATGGGGGCCTGGCTGGTGCTACTGTCCCTGTCCTCCCTCCAGTGTCACCCAGCATGGACTCGGCTGGGGCTCTGGGCTCTTGCTGCACCTCAGATCCAGGAGGATGTCATCCCACAGCATCCTCTGTGGGGCTGGGCACTGGGAGATGGTGTATGAGGGGATTCTGACACCCACCCCCCCCACCCCCCCCCAGCAGCCATGGGGGCTGCAGGGAAGGGAGCTTCCAGCTACTGTTCCCGTTGCAGCCCTGCCCTGGCCCCCAGGCTGGGTGCATGAACCACAGTGCCCAAGCTGTGCCCAGCCCCATGGGTTCCTTCCTGCTGGCTGAGGCTGGAGGGGGAGCCTTGAGGGCTCTTTGGGGGTGAAGGAACCTGCATCTTCCTGCTCAGCCTCCCCATTGAGCACGAAGATGAAAGCTCAGTGGAGGGTGGATGGTTTGATTGCTGTAACCTGAGGCTGGTGACCTTGTGGGGACAGGCTGGAGGCAGCTCCCACCCCAGCAGCTCCCAAGAGCTGGCTCCTGCCTAGGTGGGGAGCAGGGAGAGCTCCCATGTTCTTGCAGGACAGCATCCTGCTGCCAGCGTGCCCTGCAGTGGTGCTCCTGGAGCACTGAGGCATCAGCCTTGGGTGGGTGTCCCAGTTATGCCCCTTTTGCTGCAGGGAGCCAGCAGCTCCATCAGGCACCGGTTATTGCATGGAACATGCTTTGAGGAGTGTGTAGGGGAAGGGAAGAGGCATCCCAGGGCAAGTGCATGGGGCACATCCTGCTCCCCAGCCCTGCCAAGAGCCTTCCCAGTGAGTGTGAAGAAGCTGCACCCTCCTGCAGCTGGCACAGAGGAAAGCTGCTGGGAAGCACCCAGCATGGAGAGTCCTCCCCAGCCCTCCTGGCATGGGTTGGGGCTGGGGTTCAGTCTCCTGCCCTGTGCTCAGAGCTCATTCGTGGGGGGTGCCCCCCCTCAGGCCCTGCTTTGGGAGAGGGTTTTGCTTTTGTGGGTGCCAGGGGTTTGGGATGGGGGGGCTCTTCATCCCATCGTGGGTCTGGGTGATGCTGCTCAAGGCACATGTGAGGAAGGAAAAGCCTGATACGGTCGAGGCTCTTGGATCCTCCAAAGGGCAAACCCCATCTGTGTCCTTCATGCTTGGTCCTCTGCTTGAACCCCTTGTTCCCTGCCCCGTGACATGCTCCTTTCTGTGCACAGTCCCTTGGGAAAGCTCTGACCTGTTTGATCCGCCCCTCCTCAGGTGCATGCAGCAGCTGCAGCACGATGGCTTCCACGTGGATGAGCTCTTCCAGAAGTGCCTGTTTGAGGAGGATGAGAAGGAGAAGGTGCTGAAGGCCGTCAGGATGGTCCAACCCAACTACCAGCTGCCCCCTGCACCCAGCCCAGAGACCTGCAAGTCTTCTCTGCTCCAGGACTTCTACTCCAGGGTAAGCCCCAGAGCTCAGGGTGTCTCTGCAGGGTGCTCCAGGCTCCCTGAGGCCTCAGACCTGTGGACCTCTGGGTGCCGGGAAGCTGCCTTCAGAGGGGCCTCGTCCCACATGCCTCTGGCAGGGGAGCTGGGAGAATGAGCCCGTCTTCTCTTTAGGGGTCTGTAGGGATGCTGGGGAGGGACTCTTCATTAGGGACTGCAGTGACAAGACAAGGGGTAATGGGTTCAAACAAACAGGGCAAGTTTAGATTGGATCTAAGGAGGAAGTTCTTTAAGGGTGGTGAAGCACTGGAATGGGTTGCCCAGGGAGGTTGTAAATGCTCCATCCCTGGCAGTGTTCAAGGCCAGTCTGGACAGAGCCTTGGGTGGCATGGTTTAGTGTGAGGTGTCCCTGCCCAAGGCAGGGGGGTTGGAACTGGATGATCTTAAGGTCCTTTCCAACCCTAACTGTGATTCTATGATTCTCCCTCTGGCTTTTGGCACTTACTGGTTCGCTCTGGTTGCAGGAGAAGATGGTGCCGTACCCCAAGCTGGATTTCTCTGTGCAGGAGCTGCAGGAGTGCTTTCAGAAGCAGCTGGAGCTGGAGATGAACAACACCATAACCATCGAGTCGGTGGAGTCAAGCAAACCTCTGACCCCACAAGCCATTAAAGCGGTAAAGCTCAGGGAGTGATGGGGCTGCAGGTCAGGAGGGAAGCGGGAACAGGCTTCCCTCAGCACCTTGGGAGGTGGCCTGAGGAGGGGGACAGCTTCCTGGTGGCACTCTCACCACAGCAGTTCAGCCTTACTCCTGTTCCTGTGCAGCGCAAGCTCCTGGCCACCCTCCGTTCCCAGTGGCACGACTCCATCCTCCAGGCCCTGCAGAAGTCAAAGCACAACATGGCCAAGCTCAAGACAGCATCGAGGTACAACGTGCTGTACCCCTACCTGTGCCTGCTGCCGGAGGAGGAGTACGTGGGCATCATGCTCGAGGTAGGACCCTGCCCTGCCCTTGCAGAGCTGCAGGAACAGGGTGCTTGGATGGCCAAAGGGCTGCTGCAAAGCACTGTTGTCCTTCTTGGGCCAGCAGAATCAGGATATGAGCCTGCCCAGGTTGTTAGGTACAGGCTCTGCTCCCTGTGCTGAGCAGCCACTGGAGCCCCTGCTCTGTCCTGGCCATGTTTCCTTCCTTATCTTCTGCTCAGCACCATGGGAATGGGCATCTTCCCATGCTCCCTGCACAGGGGGTTTGTCTCTCTGCTCCATCTTTCTGCTCCTCCATCCTGAAGACCCTCTTTGCCTTCCCCTTTCTCAGATGCTCAACACCCTGTCTCCACAAGGAGAATCCCTGGCTGTCTTGGCCAAGGAGCTGGGCTCCAAAGTCTACGACAGATACATCACCCGGAGGAAGCTGTGCAGTGGTCAGGTGGAGAAGATGCGGGTGGTCTATGAGGGCTACATCCAGCTGCTGGCAAAGGATGGCCAGGTAGGCATGCCTGGGACAGGAGGGGGCCTGTGGGCTTGCAGCAGCAGAGCAGAGATGGGACAAAGCAGTTTGTCCACCCCGTCACAAGCACAAGGTCTGGGTTCTGGGAACTTGCTGCTGCAGAGGCCACCAGAACCAGTAAGGCCCCGTTTAGTGCTTGGCAGGGCAGGGGGTGGTGTGTGGGGGTGAGATGTGAGCACAGGGATTGGTGAGAGGAAGGGATGTGCAGTGCCACTGGCCTGGCCTGCAGCAGCAGCAGGTTCTCACTGCTGGGCTTGTCCCAGTCACATCAACAGTCCTGCCCCCAATGCCTGTGGCAGGGAGGACCTCACAGGGGCACACAGACAGGAGGGTCCTTCTCCAAGCCACATAGATCCCATCCAGCACCACCCCCAGCAGCAGCATGCCTGGTCCCTCTGCTTGACCCAGTTTTCTCCTTCCACCTCCCAGCCTGCCAAGTACTTGCCACGGGAATACTGGGAGAAGCTGGTGGCAGAAGCAGGCTTTGGGCCTTCCCTGAGCCTGAAGGACAGCAGCTGGTCCTACGTGCTCCTCATGCGCCTGGGCATGCACATGCTGGAGCTGCTGGTGCAGGCTGTCAAGATGCCCAGGAACATCCTGAGCCCTCGCCTGGAGCCCAGGCTCATCCCTGCCCTCTACCACATCTACTCCTTCCGCAGCAGTTGTCAGGTGAGCCTCATGCTGGGGTCTCTTGGGCTGTGCAGGTCAGCTCTGCATTGGAACCAGGCCTTTGCAAAGGCCCTTGTCCTTCCCTGCTGCCTTTCCTGCTTAGGGACGCTTTGAGGAGCCCCTGGTTCCGTGCAGTGTCTTTAGCTGCTCCTTACATCATGGCTGACTGGCCACATGCTCTTCCAGAGCCCTCACCTTCACCTCTCTGATTCATCTCTTCAGGTTGGGCTGATAAAGCCCCATCCCATCTTCTGTCAGATCATGTCCGACGCTGCAGAGACCATGCTGACCTTTAACTCCTCCGCCATCCCTATGCTGTGCCCCCCAGTGCCTTGGACCTCCCCCCATTTTGGGGCCTTTTTCCTCAACGACACCAACCTGATGCGCTTTGTGGACGGGGCCATCCAGCACCAGCTGCTCCTGGAGCAGTGTCCTCTGGTGAACCTCCACCCCGTGCTGGATGCCCTCAACCAGCTGGGCAACTGCGCCTGGAAGATCAACCAGCCCGTGTTGGATATCATCATCTCCATCTTTAACGACAAAGGCAATGAGAAGCTGGACATCCCCCCACCCCTCTCCGAGGCCCCCAAGCCTCCTGCTGCTCCCAGCAATCCCTCTGCCTTGGACAAGGCCCAGAAGCACGAGCTGTTGCTGTGCAAGAAGAAGGCAGCCGAAATGCACAGCTTGCGTATGGACGCGCTCTACAAGCTCTCCATCGCCAACTACGTCAGGGACAGGGTGTTCTGGTTTCCTCACAACATGGACTTCCGAGGCAGGACTTACCCTTGCCCACCTTATTTCAACCACCTCGGGAACGATGTCATCCGGGCCATCCTGCTCTTTGCAGAGGGAAGACCCCTAGGGCCCAAGGGTCTGGACTGGCTTAAGATTCACCTCATCAACCTCACGGGGCTGAAGAAGAAGAACCCTTTGCAGGAGCGCCTGGAGTATGCCAATGAGATCATGGAGGAGATCCTGGACTCGGCTGACCACCCGCTCACGGTACACGGGGAGCTCTTGGGGTGGAGTGGTGGGAGCCCTGGCAGGCTGGAGCCTTCCCCTTCACCTGGGAAGCAGGGAAGTTTGTCTGTGTTGGAGCCTGAATGGGAATTACCTAAATACGCTAAGGGAAAAAGGGATCAGTGTGCTCCTTAGTTTCAGAGGAGACCCAGCCATTCCTTTCAGAGAGGACAGTAGAATGGAAATGAGATTGGTTTTGAAACAAAGATGGTTGGAAAGGTACCGCTTTGAGAGGAGAAAGGGAAACAAAGCGTTGCAGGGTTCCCTAAATAACACGTTCCTATATGAAAACAGGGGGAAGTATTTGGGAAGTGGAGGAGGTGCCTGGACCAGTACGTGCTGGGAACGCAGGGGCTCCTGCTTTCACTTTGGGGTGCCACAGGAGCACTGCCTGCTCCTGCCAACGTGTGCTTTCCTCTTCCCAGGGCAGGAAGTGGTGGATGAACACGGATGAGCCCTGGCAAGCCTTGGCCTGCTGTATGGAAATCGCCAAAGCCTCGAGGTCCCCGGATCCCACAGCCTACATCTCCCACTTCCCAATTCACCAGGTAGATCTGCGTGGCTGGGCTGGCAGAGGGAAATGGGCAGGGTGGAAGCATCCAGGTCTCCAGTGCTGCGTTACCTACACCATGGCCAGGCTTCCCTAAGGATGGGAGCACAGTCTGGAGGCAGCTGGGCTGGAGAAGTCCAGGAACTCGCTGCTGCAGGGAGGCAGTAGTGAGCCAGGCGAGTGCTGCTTTGGCTTCCTGTGGCTGGAGCAGAGCCTGTCTGGGAGAGGGCTGAGCCAGTGTCACCTTCTCCAGCCACAGGGTGAGGGCTGGAAGCCAGCCTGGCCCCGTGGGGGTGGGATGAGGTGAGGTCTGTGGCAGCTCCTGCCTCTGATGTGCTTGGGGCTGCGCTGAGGCTTTGGGGGTCTCTGCTTCCATTCGGAGGCTGAAGTTACAGCTGGGAGGTATGGACCTCTGGAGAAGGGCATGGGGACAGAGCTGAGTCAGTGCCGTGGCTGTCACCATGTGCCCTGTCCCTGCTCGATGTCAGCTGTGCCCACGCTCTGAGCAGGATGAGTGCAGGCGCTGTTGGAAGGTGTTTGTCCTTCCTAGCAGGACAGAGGAGCCTTAACCAGCACTCGGGCCTCTCCCAGCAGCTCTGCAGCCAGTGCCCAGCCAGCTATCTGTCCACACTGATAAATCCCCTTGCTGCATGGCAGGCAGTGATGAATTGTTTTCCTAGGGAGAGGTTTACTTATTTATCTCATTAGATCAGATGGCCATAACGGGGGGGGGGGGGGGTGATGAAGGGGGCTGTATTCTGCCAGCAGCAATGGTCTGGAATATGTCTGAGACAGTCTCAACTGATACTGTTATGACAACAAGAGATCAAGAGAGCAGCCGAGGGGGTGTTAATCAAACCGAAGCAAGGACTTCTCGTGGAGGACACCTCAGCCTCTTTCCACCTGAGTCATCAGCACTGGGTTAGCAGAGGCAGCTCCTCTGCTGCGGCACCGCAGGGCTGGTGCCCGAGCACTCCCAGTGCTCAGCTCTGCAACTTGCTGCACTGCAGGCTGTGGGGAGGAGGGGAAGAGGAGAGGAGGGTTTGATCCTGCTGGCAGCTCCCCTGGACCAGGCACAGGAGGAGCAGGGCTGGTCCAAAGCAGCAGCAGGTCTTCTGTTTGGTGCTGTCTGGGGAGCAGCAGGACCTTCCCAGTCCATTGTGCAGGTCCTGCCTATCCCAGCCGGGTCCAGGAGGACTGTCAAGGCAGTTGCTGTGATGGATGGCTCAGTGTGTCCCTAACTGCAGCTCTGAGCCAGGGCTGGGTTCTGTCAGAAGGATCATGGTCAGCTATGGCTCACTGAGTGATGCTCGCCTTACCCTGCCTCCTCCTGGGTTTTCTGAGGCTCCTGGGGCTTCTTTTAGCATCTGAAACCAACAGATCTGTTGTTTTCCACATGCCCTGCCTTTCAGGGTTGCCAGAGAGCTCTGATGTCTTTGGAAACCCACAGAGGGGGCAGCATGCTGGGAGGGTTTCTGGTTTCGAGCCTCACAGGCAGCAGCAGTTAGGGCTGAGACCCAGTCAGAACTGGCCAGAAGGAAGATGGAAACTGCTGTTTCCTGGGCCAGCTGCAAACCTGGCTGGAGAGAGGAGGGAGGACAGCAATGCCCTTGGCTCAGGAGGTTGTCTGTGCTCCATCCACACCCTGCCACCTTGTTTCCACCCGCAGGATGGCTCCTGCAATGGGCTCCAGCACTACGCAGCTCTTGGCCGGGACCTTATTGGTGCCATCTCGGTCAATCTGATGCCCTGCGATGCGCCCCAGGATGTCTACAGCGCGGTGGCCCAGCAGGTGAGACACGTTGGGGACACGAGGAGGTGTCCTAGGACCTGCCTCTTGCTGCTGATGCCCAGCGGTCCCTTCGGCTCCCAAAGAGAAAGGGTGGGATAAGAGGGGTGGACAGAGGGCTGGGAAAGCGTGAGCTGGGTCAGGGGTAGCTCTCCCTCTCCACATGGGAATCACTGCAGTGGGGATCAGGCTGGAGATCATAGAGGTGGCCATGAGGCATCCCTTGGATTTCTGCTGTCTTCACTTCTCAATGAAGTCTATGAGAGTTAGGGTAAAGAAGTGGAAGAGAGCAGAGGAAGTTCCTCATCTCTTGGTCACAACTAGCCCACGGGTTATGGGATTTCCTTCGTTTGAGCTGGGTAGGAGGGAGTGGGGAGGGATTCAGCCCTTGGCACTGCTGCGAAGTCTTCAGCTTTCTTGGCAAGACATGATGTGAAAGGAGCCTGCTGGGATGCGTGTTGGGATCTACCAGCCTCGTTCAACTGGCATTGAACCCCCTGGTTCTCCCTTCCCGGTCTCAGCATGCTTCATCCCAGCAGCAGAGGGCAGGAGGAGCACGTTTTCCTCTGACTTCTCATGGGGGGTGGCTGAGGCAGGAAAACCTGAGTCCTGATGCTGTGTCCTTGGGGTGTCCGGCACCAGCAGCCAAGTGACACTGCTGAGGCAGCAGTGGAAGGTTCTGTGGCCTTATCTCTGAGATGCAGGTGCTCCTGATGCCATCCGCAGATGCTCTCTGCTTAAGCCAGCCTGGTGACAACGGGCTGCAGGGTTCCTGGTGGCCCTGGGTCAGGCCAGCGCTGCTCGCCGTGGGGCTGACCTCCTGGGGGCTCTGCCTTCCTCAGGTGGAGGAGTTCCGGAGGAAGGATGCTGAGCACGGGGTGAAGATCGCTCAGGTGCTGCAGGGCTTCATCAGCCGCAAGGTGGTGAAGCAGACCGTGATGACCGTGGTCTATGGGGTCACCCGCTACGGCGGCCGCCTGCAGATGGAGAAGAGGCTCAAGGAGATCGATGACTTCCCCGAGGTACCACCTCTGCCCTGGAGCAGCCTGGGCTCAGCTCTCAGCCCCTGCACTGGGGGGGGTTCTCTCTTCACCACCACCCCCCCCAAACCTCAGCTAAGAGAGGGATGTGCAGGACTGAGCCCCGCATCCTCCAGCCTGCAGGAGAGCTGCGTGCTGGCACTGGTGGGTGGGCAGGGATTCTCCCATTCATCCTTCCGGGGCCCAGCTTGGTGGCATGAGAGCCTCGTGGGGTTTCAGATCCACAGCAAGGTCTGTGGCTGTGCTCTTCCATCTGGAAGTGGCCCTCGTCTCTAGCAGAGCTCTTGGAGGCTTCTTCCTCCCTGACGCCTGTTTCTTGTTGTGTGACCCCACTGTGAGTCCTTGCTGAGTGGGTGCTTTGCTGTGGCATGGTGGTGCTGGGAGTGTTCCTGCTGCCGTGTTAACACTGCAGGGACAGATGTGGCAGCGAGAGCCTCCTGCTCATCCTGGGATGTCACACACATCAGCCTGTCCTTGGACAAGGAGCCATCTGAAGTGCTGATCAGAGCCTCCCTCCAGCACTGCCCCCAGCCAGCTGCCTGCAGCAGCTCAAGGCTTAACATGGTTTGGATGGAGGCAATTTTGAGGCAGATGCTCTTTTAGCTTACCCATCACTTTGCTCCACGTCTTTTGCTGCCTGTGCCTGACCCCTCACTCTGCCTCTGGTCTCTGCAGGAGTACTTGTGGGAAGCGTCTCACTACCTCGTAAGGCAAGTGTTCAACAGCATCAAGGAGATGTTCTCAGCGACTCGAGATATCCAGGTATGGTGCCTGCTGCCTCTTCTCTCTTCCTGCCTTTTCTTCTTTGCTGGCCCACCCCTACGTAGAGCAGGGGATGCTCCATGGGGAGAGATGGTTCTTCTGGGTCCCAGCCTGGAGGTGTGGGATTGTGCCTGGTACAGAGCCAAGCTCCCCTGTAAGCACTGGACTGGCAGAGGCAGAGTCAGGGTCACCTGTGCTGGGAGGGGATGGGGTCTCCCATAGTAACTCCAGCCACCTCCTTCTGCTGCAGAACTGGCTGACAGAGAGTGCCAAGCTCATTGCCCAGTCAGGCCAGACGGTGGAGTGGGTCACACCACTGGGTCTCCCCATCGTGCAGCCCTACTACCGCTCCAGGCCCACTGTGGTAAGTGTGTGGTGTGCAGGAATCAGCCACCCCTTCCTCTGCCGTGGTGGGGAGCAGGGGAAGGACAGCCAAAAGCTAAAGCCCAGCGGCTCTCCATCAGGGTGGATCTGTGGGTGCAAGCACATCCTGCAGCCTCCCTGCAGAGCCTGGAGCGGGTGGGGGCTGCTGAGGAAGCGCTGCTGCTCCCATCCCACTCAGGCAGCTGAGGCACGGGCCCATTCCCTGCTCCCAGGAGCCTTCCTGGGGCTCTCGTGATTCAGACTCGCTGCTCTCGCCTCCCACATGCTGCTGCTCTGACTCACATCTCCCCTCACAGCCACTCACCTCCAGCAGCCCTTCCTGGAGCCCTCGCAGGGTGAATCAGCTGGGAAAGGGGTGCAGGATGCCTGGCAGCATCCCTAGGAGGGGACTGCTGACTGCCTGGAGGCTGGGATGCCCTGGAAGGGTCCCTTATGGCAGCCAGGGGGGTTCCCTGCAGAGCAGAGCAGGAGCGTGGGGCAGTGCAGAGGGAGGGCTCACCCCCTTTCTCTCTCCCTGCAGCTGAACTGCAGCATGCAGCACCTGAGCGTGAAAAGCACCCACAGCAACCAGTAAGTATGAACCCGTGGTTGTGACTGAGCCTCTGCTGGCCCCAGTCTGTGCTCTGGGGACGAAGCCTTCCCATCAGTGGAGCCTGCCACTGAGTGCCAAAGCTCCTGTTAACAGCTCTGAGCTGCAGTAAACCAGCTGAGGAGTGGAGCCCTGTGCTTCAGCAGGGCCCTGGGGCCCTGCAGGGCTGTGCCCATCAACCCCAGGGCTCATTTTTGGCCTTGGAAGTGCCTCAGCTCCTCCCTTCTCCTGCTTTGTGCTGCAGGAAGCCTGACACGGTGAAGCAGAAGAACGCCTTCCCACCCAACTTCATCCACTCCCTGGACTCCACACACATGATGCTCACAGCTCTGCACTGCCTCAGGTAGGGAGCTGGGGCTCTTCCCTGGCTCCAGGATCACTCTTTGCTGGGAGAACATTGCATGTGGTGGGGGAAAGGGGTTTTCCTGGTTGTGGCTGTTTGGGTTTCCTGGCAGAGAAGGGCTAAAGGGGGGTTTGGGGGGGGGTTTGCTGTCCCTGAAGATGCGCAGGTGCTGTTGCAGGGAGCCCTCGTGTGGTCCTTGCTCACGTCCCAGCACAAAGACCTCGGTGGGGCAGGGGATGTGGGGGGGGGGGGCTCTCAGCACCACTTATGGCACCTTCTGCTGCCTCCCAGGCAGGGCCTGACCTTCGTCTCGGTCCATGATTGCTACTGGACTCACGCAGTCACCGTGGACGTGATGAACCAGGTACAAGCGGATCTTCAGGAGCTGGGATCCTGCTGATCCATCCTCTGGGCACACGCCAGCCCTTCCCTCCCCTGGGCTTTGCTCCAGGGGCTGGTGGATTGACCCAGCTTGCTGGTG